AAGTACGGTGTAAATAAAATAAGTAAGTAAAAAAGAGAAAAAAAATAAAGAAATAGGAAGGAAAATAACAAATGAGAAAAAATAAAAAGTAAAAAAATAAAAAGGAGAGAGAGAGAGAGAGAGAGAGATTGCATGAGTGAACAAAAAGGGAGAAAAAGAAGGTGGGTGAGTGAGAATTAAAAAAATCTTGAACCTTACTGAATTTGAGAATTAATCTCAACCCTTGAAACAAAACGTATCTCTAAGACATTTTGACACATTTTCTAAAACTCTCCTACTTTATTATATAGATTGTACACATATTTTTATCATTTTGAGTTTCACGTCTTTGATCTATCAAGTAAATTTTAATAATTATATATGTAAGCAAAATTTGTGTAGGTATTAGTAGATAAAAAGGGTAAATTACAAATACACCTCTTGAAATTTGCTTAAAATACAGATGTCTCCTGTGATTTGAAAAATTATAAATATCCCCTTATTAGAATTTTTTATTTAACAAAATTAACTAAAAAAATGAAATTCATAATTACTCTCCTATAAAATAATAAAATTACCTAAATTATTAATTGAAACATATTTTTAACATCATTAAAAACTATTAATTGACTTGATAATTTATTAATAAAATGGGCGATTTGTTATGAAATTAGAAACCTTAAAGGGTACAATGTAATTTCCAAAAGTATATGAAGCAATTCGTATTTTAATCAAATCTCAAAGAGTATATTTGTAATTTATCCAAAAAAAACTAAAATTATTTATTATTTTATTTATAATTTTTATTTTATTTATAATTATGTATACAAGGAGTCATATAAGACATCAAGGCCTGTCCTATTCGGGTTCATTATTCTATTTAAATAGGGGTGGTTTTTCCTCTCATCTGATCAAATTATATGAGCTCTTTTGGAAAGAAGTTAAAAAAATTAATTTTTAAAATTTTTTAGTTTTTTTACAAAAAAAAAGTCATAAAAAATTAATTTTTTAGGCTAAAAGGGCTATCAAAAAAATTAAAATATCAAAAAATTAATTTTTTATCAACTTTTCAAAACCCCCCATAATCTCCGTCATTTATATTATGAGTTAATTATTCCACCTCACCTAAGGTGATGTTACATCATTTCCCATCCCCTTAAATTCTTCAAATCAATTCATCTATATCTTAATGTCCAAACAGTCGTGTCAAAATAAAAGTATTAAGCCATCCCCATCACAAAAGTCGGGTTACTATCATTGTCTCCAACCATTTTAAAACCACAAAACCACACGCCAATGGAAAATATTACAATAATACATATTCTTCAAACACGATCAACAAAGCTTGTATATATATGTGGGAGTGTATATAAGGAAAGGTTTAACAAATTACAATAGTTTAAAATTACGATAGCATGAGTATAAATAAATAATTACAAAATAATAATTTTAAATTAAAAAATAATATAAAATTTATCTAAAATATGTAATAAAAATAATTTATAATCAATTTAATTTTCTTTATTTTTATTAGAGTTACACACAAAAAAATATTTTTATTTTGATATTGTTAATTTTGTGTTCTAAGTTCTTAATAAAAAATTGTGTGTCATAATTTAATTGGTAAAAATTAAAGAATAAATTACAAAGAATATATTTATGATAAAATATAAATACATTTCATTTTATAAGTTTCGTAATTTTAATTTACCGTACAATAGTAGTAAATTACATTTGTTAATATACTATTTTTTTTATTATTATTTTGTAAAACCTAAAAACTTGTTTACTTAAAATTTTAAATTATCATATGTCATAACTCTTACGTGAAAATAGATTATGATTGACTTGTGGTGTTAGACTAAAGATTAGAAGTGATATAAAAGCTACTCAACTTAATATTTATGCTAATGTGACCTTCACCTAATCATTAAAAATTATTTTTATCGATTCGTGACCGATATGAGTTAGTTTGGGGATAACAATATTGGATTAAATATTAAAAGATAGCCTAAAAAATATAGTTTGGGTTGATTTTTTTTTCCCAACAATTATTGGTTTAAGCCTATAATACATCATATTTTAATAACTCAATATCATAAAAAAAGTAATCTTTGGGTGTGTTTGGTTGAGAAATTTGAGAAGGAATTTGGAAAAATGAAAGAAAAAAATAGGTAAAACGTGAATAAAATATACATATATCTCACCTAATTTACACACATTTTTCTTTTTCTTTTCCAAATCCCTCCATAAATTCCCCAACTAAAGACATGCCTAATGTTTACGGTGCTTTTTATCAATCAATAAAAAAAAATTATAAATATTAAGAGAATTACATTTGAACAAATTCTAACATTAAATTTTTACTTTAAAATTTTGAGACCCACATATATTTTTTGACTCTATAACTAATTTTTGAGATAAAAACTAAAATAAATTTCAATCATCATTTTATAGAAACATGCGTGATAAGAGTTTGTAGTACATAATTTTAAAAAATAATATTTATTCAAAAATTTTAGTATGGAAAATATGCACTCAACTTTATGTTTTGTTTGATTTATGTGTTTGGATAGAAATTTGGAATAAGAAAGGAAAAAGATTGATTAAATGTGAATGAAATAAAACTATATTTTACTTAATTTCACATGTATTTTCATTTTCCTTTTCTTTTTTAAAATTTCTACCTAATATCATGAACTAAGCACATCATCAATGTTTGAAAGGAGTTTTGGATCCTTTGTATTGATATACACTATCTAAAAAAAACTTATATAATATTTGGTGGAAAAAGTAAGTTCTTAAAATGGATCATCAATCACATTATAAGGAAATAAAAGTCAGTCAATAAAAGATTTTTGAATTATTTAAAAATTAAATATCACGAGAAATAAACTATAAAAGATGTAAATTGATTCTTGTATTTGAGTAGTACAAACATCTAAATTTTAAAACTGATCATTCTTCAAATTTATAAATATAAATTTTTAAATTGATTAATTAACTTTTCTTTGGAAATATGTAAATCAAGACATAATAATAATTTTTTTTAAATGATTTAATAAAGGTTAAAAGATTTTTTTTTAATTTTAAAATTGATTAGTTAATTTTCCTTTTCAAATTTCAAAATTTAAATTTATAAATGAATTATTTAGCTTTCCTTTTGAAATGTGTAAATCAAGACATAATCACTTTATTTGGTTTTCATTTCCAGTATTCACTTCTTAGAAAATTCTACTTTTTCGTTTTTCGTATTTTTTTTGTTTTCACTAAAATTTTTAAATATTTTAAGCAATTTTTTTTTAAATTTTTTTTGGACACATCTAGCATAAATATACTTAAAAAGTATAATATTTGTGAAAAAAATCTTTAAAAAATTCACTAAATACCAAAAAAATAAAAAAAAATAAAAAAATAAAAATAAAAATTCAATACATTTTTCATATTTTTGTGTATTTATTAATTTTTTAAAATATTTTTTCATAAATATTTTATTATTTAGATACATTTAAGTAAGTTGCATCTAAAAAAGTAAAAAAATTGCTTAAAATTTTAAAAATATTCACTAAAAAAAATATGAAAAACAAAAAACTCAATTTCTAGAAAACTGAATTCATAAAATTAAAACTAAACACACGAATAAGATTTTTTTAAATGATTCAATAAAAGCTAAAAGATTTTTTTTAAAAAAAAATTTAAAACTGATTAGTTAACTTTCATTTTCAAATTTCTAAATTTAAATTTATGAATGGATTAATTAATTTTCCTTTTGAAATGTGTAAATTAAGGTATAATAAGATATTTTAAAAAATGATTTAATAAAAGTTAGAAGATTTTTTTTAAAATTTTAAAACTGATTAGTTAACTTTCATTTTCAAAATTTTTAAGTTTAAATTTATAGCTGGATTAATTAATTTTCTTTTAAAATGTGTAAATTAAGACACAATAAAAAAAATTAATCATTCAAATAAAATTAGCCAATAAAAGATTTTTTGATTATTTAAAAAATAAGAATTCTAGAAAAATAGTATGAGAATTTTGAATTTCGCAATACTCTTCTCATTACAATTTTTTCTTTATATATAGTATAGATTTTGACCAATTTAGAAAGAGCACTGTTTGAATTTTTTTTACTAGTATTTTATTTAATTTTTCTCTTTTTTATTGGTTTTGACTTTTAACTATGTCAAAATCCAGCCTAGAAGTCCATAAAAATTTAAAATTTTTTTAAGATGCAAAAGTATGTTAAAACCTAAAAATCAAATCCAAGTGTCTATTCGTGTATAATAAAAACTTAAAAGGTTTGCATTGGACATTTTGTTAAAGAAAGACAAATAATTTAAGCATTTATAATTTTATATGATTCAAAAAAATCTTAAAATTCACCGACGTTGGATTAGAAAGAAAAGAAAGAAAACATGTGGGCTTGTGTTTTTTTATTCATAAAATGCACGCAAACACATGAATGTATGTATATCAATCTATCCATGGGTAATATACACTCCTTAAAAAAAACACGTGTATCATACATATTTTTAATTGATTAATGTTATACGTTTCAATTAGTACATTAATTAGTATATTAATTGATAATATAATATAACTTAAGATATTTTTTATATTCGTAATTTGTATAATAAGTGAGATCAATAATAATGTCATAACTAGTATTGATACACTAGTTACTACACTAATTAAAATATTATTTTAATTATAATTTATAAATTCTTTAATTATATTTCATATTCTGTTTAATTATGATACGTTTTACTTTTTTTTAATTATCATTCAAAAAATTAAAATTATGCCATTTTTTTAATTTTTTAATTTTTTAAAGTTATATGGTGGATAGCATAGTGTTTCCCTGTATCTATATATATACCAAGGACACTCTTGATTTCAATGGCTTTATTCATCAATTCAAGAGATACCCAGATGTATTAACAAGTGTGATAATGTGTAACTCTTGATTGTCTTCAATGGTTTGAGATTGAATTGAAAGCAACAAGAAATCTTTTGAAATGGAAGGCAATTCACTAAGGAAATTCAAGAGAGTCTGTGTCTTCTGTGGAAGCAACTCTGGCAATAGACAAGTCTTCAGTGATGCTGCTTCTGAATTGGGGAATGAACTGGTTGGTTTTGATTTGCTGCTCACATTCTCTCTGATTGAATCTTTTTTTGTTGATTCACAATATTGCTTTTCTTGCTTTTCCTGTTTTGGTTTTTGGTTCTCAAAACATGAAAGTTTGTTGAATTTGTGAAATGGGTGTGTGATATATTGGACTGGGATATACTCATTTCTATGCTTCTATGTTTACTTTGTGGAGTTATGAAGTAGATGTTTATTGTATTGAACTGGTTTCCTGTTGGTAGGTATATAGAAACGGGTCACAGGATCGACACAGAATACATGAAAGAATGGATAAGATTTGACGGAGTTTGTTATTGAGGTCTACTTTTGAAAAATCTTATTCGTCCGTATACATTATGTGTCCGGTTCTGTGATTCATTTCCGAGTTCATAAACATTCGACTTTTTTTTTCCTTCTTCCAAATTTGGTATCAAAACATGAACATTATGAGGATTCTGCATTATCTTGAGGGGTTGTGAATTGGGTGTTTAATATTGTGAAACCATTTTTGGCTATGCTTATTTCAGTCAATTTGTGGGTTTTTGTTAATTTCATTTTATGACTTGTGATTTAAGGTCAAGCGGAAGATGGATTTGGTATATGGTGGAGGAAGTGTCGGGTTGATGGGTTTGATTTCCCAGAGAGTGCATGCTGGAGGTTGCCATGTTCTTGGGTAACTTAGAGACAATTTAAATTTAGTATATTTCATTGACAAACCCGTTCATCGATTTAAACTAGGTTTCCTTGGTCATGATGTAGCATTTTACTCAATTCTTGAATGCTCACCGTGTGCAGGGTCATTCCGAAAGCTCTTATGCCTCTTGAGGTATCCATGATTTTAATCTGTGTAACTATCATCACAATGCCAATTATGTCTAAAGTTACAATGCAATTTCCTCATAAATTAGGTGTTCTTACAATCACAATATCTTTACATAGGCCACTCTCATTTGAATTTAATTTGATTCTTGGTGTCACTCTTAACTGGCTTTGGTTTTGTTATTTTCCCATTTGTGTATATGAAAGTTATCTTGGGTTGAACAACAGTGAATCATGATATATCTATATGATGGAAGCACCTAAATTGTCTATGTCGTTGGAAAATTTGAATTCATTGACACTGGTAAATTGACAGATATCAGGTGAAACTGTTGGAGAAGTTAGAATTGTTTCAGACATGCATGAGCGTAAAGCTGAAATGGCTAGAGAGTCCGATGCTTTTATAGCTCTTCCCGGTAATTATCCACAAAACAATTATGTTCTTTAAAGGAGGAAGTATAGTTGCATTCATTTTGTCCAGTGGTATTCGTGAATTTTGAATTGTCTTAGGTGGATATGGAACCATGGAGGAGCTGTTGGAGATGATAACATGGTCACAACTCGGAATTCATAAAAAACCGGTGACTTATCAATTTACATTCTGGAAGATATCTGATTGATGAATTTTTAGTTAAAATTGTAACTGTGTAATTCCCTATACAGGTTGGTCTGCTAAATGTTGATGGGTACTATAACTCCTTGCTTGCATTATTTGATAATGGTGTTGAAGAAGGTTTCATCAAGCCAAGTGCTCGCCACATCGTCCTCTCCGCTCCAACTGCCAAAGATCTTTTAGTAAAGATGGAGGTATTGACCCAACTTGATTATATTAATTTTTTTGTATTTATAATTTTTCCCTTTTTGGCTTTGGTTGTTTAGAGAAGTTTTCAATCAAGTTTGGCTGTAAATACCATTAGCTACTCTAGTGCATGGGCCTTTCTCTCCTATGGATTATACAAAGGATGCAACTTCACCTGCTTTTTCTAGCAAGAATTTCAAAGAAAAATGTCTGTTTGTTCTGTCCCGTGAATTAGGCTAGGCTAGGTTATTCAATAACATTGTTGAGTTAAAAAGCGTTATTATCAAAAAGCTCACGGGTTGGGATGTTGGAAACTTCTATGACCATTATGTGGCTGCCTTATTCTATGCTCCTTTTCTTCATATCTCTTTCTTTTTATTGGTGCATTCTTTCCGGAGTTTTAAATATCAGCCAATACATAGGTATTGGAATTTTGGACTTGATACCAATATTCACTAATATATTGGCTGACACTGTTTGATATCTGGCATGGGTAAATTCCCATTTGCCAGGTCATAAAGTGTTTTTTTTTTTTAACTGCTGGAAAATTGACTTTGCAAAACAAAGTCAATCCATTTATAAAACTAGGCTCTAAATCTGTCATTTGACTTTGCAGCAATACACTCCTTCCCATGACCATGTTGCCCCTCACGAAAGCTGGCAGATGGAGCAACTGGGTAATTACCCAAATGAACAGAATCCGAAATGAATAATATTGTTTGGTGGTAGGTCTATCTCTCAATGGATTCCTGGTTTGATCAATGATAGTTTTGAGTTGTTTCTGAGAATTTTGTTCGAGTGGGGCCGGCCACATATTGTGAGTTACAATGTACTCTTGTCATTCTTTGTGATTTGAATTCTAAAATAGAATCTGCCTTGCTGTTTTACAACAAAACATTGGATTATGGTGGAAATGGTCAATCAACATACTATTCCCTGGTCATGTCTTGCTGTTACCACTTGCAAAAGCACAAAGTTGAATTGAAATGGAAATAGATAGCTGATAGTTTTGAGGATTGAATATTCTTCGATTTAGGACCACACAGTGGAGTATCTTAATTACTACTTTTAGTTGATGTGACTATTGGAAGTGAGAAAGGTTGAATCTAGGATAAATTAAGCGTGTTGCTGTGAAATTATTGGATCACACTTACATAACTCTTTTTTCTTCTGGGTTCAAAGGATCACAAACAACTCAAGTGGATTCATTGGGAGAACCTGTGCAAGGTCACATGCAAACCTAATTAATTTTTCTTCTTAGGCCCATTGCACATTGTTACAATTAATGTTACCAACAGGGTTTAAATTATTTTCCAATTCCTGAACTTCTAGAGATTTAGCTGCATCTCGGGAGAATTGAACATGGATCATCTTGCCGATCTCTCCTTGTTTTGTCTCTTTTACCAAAACTCTGGTGTAATTTCCCTGCATCTTTTCCGTCCGTGATTGGAAGGATGGGGTCAGTGTCACAAGCGAAGGTAATTTAATGAAATTTGGACCTCATTGCCAACAATGAAGTGGTTCAAGGACATGATTGGACGTCAAGGCAACTTGGCCAATTTGGAGGTCGAACTTTGATGAGAGATTATACATAGAACCTACATCCTTGGTTCTTGAATATTGCATCCCCACTTTTCCTCCCTTCATAATAGTGTATGCAAAAGCGTCAAGGTGGTGAGGCATAAACTTCTTGAATTATGAATTCTCATATTTAGTGAATAAATAAAATATTTTAACATAGTAAAAACATATTAAAAATTAAATATATAGGTGTAAACACGTTTCTCCTCAAGGCATCAAACATTTCATTGCAGAGTTGAAAACGTGCCCTTATCAAAGGTGAAAACATCATTCTTAGTTTCAATTATCGAGCTTCCCCAGTTGAGTCTTGGTGTTGTATTTTTTCTCGGTTGATCTTACTTGATTTTACCCCATGGAAAATAGTTATGAAAGAGCGTCTAAGACTAAGTTTAACATTAACCCAAAACAAGCTTTCTATATGCATACCCGTATGTTTATGCACAAAAGATGTACAAGGCACACCAAAAATGCTCGCCTCAGACTGTGATGTGCAAGCATTTCAAGAGTATCGTCTAAAAAATCAAAGCCTTGATGCGTTTTTCATTGGCCTTGCCTCAAGGCGAACCTCAATAAAGCCTTTTAAAACTTTGATTCAACTGTATGCAGTTTCAGCTACTAGATTTCAACTATCACTCTATTTTTTCTTCTGTACTTTCAGGGTCCAACTCAAGAAAGAACATCTTTTACTATGGAATTGGAGTTTGAACACTTGTATTCAATATAATCCTGCTAATATGGTTTGGTTTGATAGGTTTTAACTTTTTAACTCATTCACTGTTGGATCAGTCTAGGAAATTTGTAAATGTTCCTTGTTCAGAAAATTAACATGTCTCCTGAAGGTTAAAAGAGTAGGTAATGATTTATGATTCATTATTAGTTGGGTGAATTGAAATGTCGAGTTGTTCTACCATTCCCAGCAACTTGGGGGTACAATAATGCAGCTAGCCCTATTTTCAAATTCAATCATATGTAGGTCATACTTAGTTATCATCCTTGGCATCTAGTTGATGTAGCTTAAGCGGGCGTTATGCAATGCAGCTCCTTGAAAATCATGTCATTGTCCTGTTAGCGCTCCCACCAGAGACAAAAGTACTCGGAGTGAGAGAGGCTTACAAATTAGTGAATAGCTTAGTCTCATTCTTAGATAAGGGCAAGAGCAGCCTATCATGTCCTTATCAACTTCAATCAATTCCCCAAATTAGTCTTTTCTTTTAAGTTTAATATAATTTTGCATGCAATTCATGAAAAAAGATCCAAATTTCTTGGAGAATTAAGAACAATTGATGTTGTTGTGTAATTCGTATATTTTGCAACATACCATTGTGTTGAATGTCCCACAGTTGATCTGTTCTTTTGTAGAACTTCTAGCATGAACATTTATACCATTTTTTCCCCCTAACATCATTTCACTTGCTTTTGGGAAAAGTTATGAAAGATCCTAACTCAGTCTTTCTCTGTCTATGTAGTTCATTTATACTTGGTAGTTCCTCACAATGTTGCTTGGTTAATTAGATCCTGTGGGAGTCCGGTTTCTCCGTCATGGTTTTTCAGCAATGATCTTGTTGTGGTTTTTATCACCGCAAGACACATAAGAAAATTACATAATCCAACGGTTTTGAGTTAAAACTAAAGTGAAATGACATTAAAACCGTATTACCTTAAAACAACATAATTTTACTTTAAATATATGTCATTGAATTATCACAAAAAAAACATTACAAATTATTGTAGAGAATCTAAATCCATCTTGCAGGCACAAATAGCAATATAATATCACTGGAAACTCATTTGTCCCAACAGTCTCAAATCATGGGAAGCCCAACTCATGTCACTTTTGCATTATTTACTTGATCTAGCTATCCTAGATGTACTTGACCTTATTTGTAGGTGCCAACTGCAACTCACATGGGATTCTCTGAGGATCACCCTACCTGGAGGGACCAAAGTTCCTAGGCCAGCTTCTCCCACCTGCCTGGTCTAAGTTCAATAATTCTATGTACACAAAATCAATCACAGAATCAACCACAAAAAATATAACTGGAGTAATGTGAGTGGAACTGTTTCGGTCTCTTTAGCATTGGGCTCTACTGTATGATATGTATTACTAGAATTATGTGCTTTAGTATCTGATGTGCACAACTAAAATTGTTTTATGTGATTGGTTCTATGTTATAGAATTATTGATCTAAGTTAAGTATGCAACACCTCTTTGTACCTTGACATGGGCTGTCTTGATTGGCTATATGAAATTTTTGTGATGATTCCACTGAGATTGCCAGGATGGTATGTTGGGGATTGTTTTAGGGGAGTTTTTAAGTGCAAGATTGATGTGATGTGAATTGTGGTGGACCTTAAGGGTCTAGTAGTTTCATGAACAAATTGAGTACAGGTGGAGGAGATGGCTGTTGTTGACCCTTTCACGGGGGTTCATTTTCTCAAAACACTCAAAAATCCACCCACTGTTTACTAGATTCATATATGGGTTAATCACAGATATGTGATGCTGGTCCCTACATTTTTGTTGTCTCCCTCATATGCCCTTAAGAGGTTATGCTGCTATTTTCAGTTTGGTCCTACTTCTGGTTCGATTGTTACTAAAAAAAAGTGGAGGAAATTCAGTACCAAATGCTTGGCTAAGCTTTATATTCCTCCTCAGAGCATCTTTAATGCTTACTCTTTTTTTCATTAAATGTGAGTAAAGATTTGGATTAAAAGTTTCATCTGATACCCAGTGTTTCAACGCTAAATTTTTAATTTTTATCAAACAATCGGTCGACCGAGAGGACAATTGGGAGGATGTCCAGGTGGCCATCCGGCCTAGTGTAAATTTTCTTTAAATTTTTTTCAATCTGATCATCCATCAACAGTTACCTGCGAGATTTGATGAATGGTTAAACGTTCTTTTAATTTGATAAAAAAGTAAGGCCCCTACTTTGGTGAAACGGTTAGAATACCGTTTTTACTAAATTTTTATCAAATTTAAATTTAATAAAAGATTTAAGTCAGGGTTAAAAATAGTCTTGCGAGCTAATCTATTCTTGAAAGCCATCTTCCTTGATTGTTGAAGTAATAAAAAATTTCTCCCCGGTAGACTCGACCGATAGGTCTAGAAAAACCTTAAATAAATAAATAATATATGAAAAAGACAGGCACATAATGAGGAGGTGAGGTGGGGCATTTTTCTAAACCAGGGACGCGTCCAGCCCAATTGTGCAAACCGGTTTGGTAGGGTTTTATAGAAATTTATAAGCACACAGTGTTACTAATGAAATTTTCCTTGTTATACTTTTTGAAGTTACCATACTCCCTCATCACGGTACAACAATGAAATTTTCTGTAATCAAAAGAAGAATGAATTTAAGAAGAAGAAAAAAAAAAGAGATTCAAGAATCCTAATACTGTGTTTAACATTGTTTTCTATTTTTTTGTTCTCAAAACAGAAACATGAAATCTGATACTAAAAATTTGTTTTCGAGAATTGCTTTTTGAATTTTTTTTTAATAAAAACACACCCTTCAGGAAACACATCTAAACTATTTTCACAAAAAATGACACGGTATGAAAATGACTAGTGCTTTTTGAACATTTTGCTGATTTTATTTCCAAAACACTATAAGTTAAAAGGTTAAAGATCGAGGCCTCGAATGTGTAGAGCTCGAATGGCGCGAATAGTACGGAAAATATTATCTTACCGGTAAGAGAATAAAAAAAACCTTTAAAACGACGTCGTTTTGGGATTTCGAGTCATTCGCGCCTTCAATATTTCGAGGTACGTAGCATTGTTCAAGTTAAAAATGATAGCAAACAGTACTATTCCATTCCCAAATATGGGATCATCATTATTTCCTAATGGCCTATTCAACAACTTTCCCCATCTCCTTATAACATCTAAGAACTCAAAATGCCACATTATTGAAGGGAAAATAAAAATGAAGAAATAACATATCAGTACATGTTTTAAAAATAAATTAGAAATTAATGAATAACGAATAATGAATAATTTTATCAACATTAATAATAAAAATTTTAAACTTTTCCATGTATTTGTAATGTTTTTATTTATATTTCCACTGATTGCTAATTCCCCCCCAAAAAATGTGGTGCCAAAACAGATTATTTATTTATTTATTTTCCTTCATCAAAATACCTACTCTGCTAAGTAATTGTAGATTGGTATTCTTGGTAGAGTTTGTTTTCTCATTTGCTAATTCAAGTATACAATTTTGTCAACAACAATGATAGGAACTCAAAAAATTTACCCACAAAAAACTTTCTACAGTAGAAATTCACTTCAAGTGTAGGTTATTGTACAATAATTGAATCTAAACCATATACCACTTTTCGGTAATGCTAGAGACTCAGAAAAAATCGGTCAAAGAACTAGTTAGATGAGCATTTAACAGTGGGGATAGGTAGTAGTAGTACAAGAAATACATCATAAAATAAAATAACTTATATGAAGAGAACAGCTTCCAAATCACAACTAAAATCCATTAGAAATATAAATTTTTACTGGCACATTCCAAAGGATTCTATAACCTGTATGTGTATGGGGAAGACTGAAGAGAAACAAATTAACAAGTACTGCAAGAGAGATTGTTCTATCAAGGGTATGATATTAAAACCTTCATGCCTTCCAGTATAGCTGCTTCATTCAAGATTCAATCATATACGTCAATTTCATTGCTATTTTCGATTCAAGCCTTCTCTTTAGAAGGAGATGACATCAAATGATGCAATGTGGTTGCCTGGATGATGGCACTAGGACTCGTTGGGTCCCTGGCATGGAGCGACCCGTGTCGTCTGAGGCCAAGATTCCTATCAACACTGTTTTGCACAATACGCCGCAATGGCCTCGGAAGGTATCGCACTAGCCGTGTCGAGGTTACCAGCAGAACCACACCCAGAATTATGAAAAACCTGCAATAACGGATGGGCAATTGAACAAAATTTTATTTATAGCAAAAATCTTAATTGACTGCAGTCCAAAGCAGTAATAACTCCGGTGGGCAGGAATTTAATTAATTTTACTATTATTTTTTTGAATTTAGACTTTTATTAAATCAGCAAAGAAGAGGTAGGCCGACCATTTCTTGATGCATGATTTTTGCGTTCGTAGTTTAATGAAAGTCTTAATACTAGCATTAGATTATTTAGACCATAGACCTTTACTAATTTAAACTTCAAGACAAAAGTTATTTGAAAATATGCCAGATAAAATTCTCAACATCAGATCAACTAGCACCTACAGTCTCCAATGTCAAATTACAAACATAAAGAAGTGAAAATAATGTATCAGAGGTCAATGGGGCGCAAAATTACAAATCCGTTGAAACATTTTGAAATTGCAGCTGAAATGGGTGTTAGAATACTAATCACAAAGACAGGGAAATCGCCCCCCATCAATTTACCAATACCCTCATCTTTTCTCTTCTCCTTTCTTCAATGTTCTTTCCCTGTAAATCTGGCTAGTAGCCCCGGCTGCCCCCAGCCCCCACCCACTCCCGGAGTAGGGGTGGTGGCCTGAGTTACAAAGATAAAAATTTATATATATATACAAGAAAATAAGGGGGAAGAAGAAGAAGAAGAAGAAGAAGAAGAAGATGAGGGCATTATGATAAATTAAATGGGTGATTCCCTCCTCTTTGTAATTAGTTTTGTTCTTCTCATTTTGAATTGTAATTTCAAAAAAATTCCCACTGATTTGTAAATACCCCATTATACGTTATTTTACCCATAAAGAATCCATGAATAAAAATTGGATTTAGATTCCTCCTGAGAAAGCTACTAGTGGAAACTAGGAGTAAATTTAAAATTACCATCCCAACAAAACTGAAAGGCGAGCCATTGGTGCTGAAGGCAATCGTTCACCCAAAGCAAGCATACCAGCAAGTACACCAGTCACAATTGATGCTACAGCAGCGCATGTGGACACTACAATTGCTCTCCCATGTTTCAAGCCCCGTGTCTGTTTTGAAAGGAATAACACCAGAATTATCACCATGGTTCCCCAAGTAATTGGAATAAAAACGCTATGTGGTGTGGTCTAGTTATATGAAACTCGAAACAGACAATGCTGGTAACTCCATGACAAATATGAGTCACGGTTGGTACATGCCGAACAGGAATTGATGCCAAGTGAAATAGTAAACAAACAAAAAATATGAGTGGTATTTACATTAGATGATGGTCATCGTGAGATGCTTGTAAAACAAGCATGATACCTGGTAAAAAAATCCAGTACCACTACAACAAACACTGATTGAGATGCATGCAGGAACCAGCAACTTGGAGAAGCCCTGCTCCAAGAATACAAACCTGGTAGTGGTGTAGTGGGTTAGGTTTAGTGGAGTAGGTTTAAGTGGGTGAAGTATGTGGAGAGTAGGTGGATTTTAACAGAAAATAAAATGCAAACCAAATCTGACAAAACCACAAACAAATAGAACTGCTTGTACAAATAATAGCCAGCAACAGCCATTTTCTGTACATGTTCAATTCCGAATAAAGTACCAACAGTTACAAACAAATTAAAGGTATTTGCTTTACAACAAGAAACCTATTCATCAAGTGTTTCCTGCCATCTCACTGGATGAATCTATACATCTACTTAAAAAGAAGAGGCATTCCAACTAAAGGGAAGACCAAACACCACTGCTTCCCTGCAATTTCTTTTTGTTTTTTTTTTGTGTGACAATTTTATTTAGATTATGGGTGTCAGATGCAATTTCATTCAGAGCAATTTTAGTCACTCAAAAAGATGCTTCACAAAAAATCACCTGGCATTAACGCCTCCCAGGAATTCACCCTGGTAAACCGACGTAGTAAACTTCAGCATCTGGCAACTCATTTTAACTTCAATTCACGAATCAAATTATGCTATTTAGCTATGTAAAAGTTCCCCGTCAATTGAAGTTTTACATAGCTAAATATGAGAAATGTAAACTTCAGCATCTGGCAACTCATTTTAACTTCAAATGATGCAATGCTACCAGTCAGTTGTATTACCAAATATGAGAAATGTTATATCCAACACCAACCGGAACTGATCCTGGCGTCTCCCTCATTGTTATTCAATTGTGTACTAAATTTCTAACTTCACTCTTGATTAAGTAAACAATTTTTTTCAAAAAAAAAAAATGAAAAAAAAAGAGGTATTGGATAAGAAGTCTAGAAGGAGAAAGCCACCAGTCCTGCAGACAAAGGGTTAATTACACTTTTATCTCCCCTCAACTATCAATGAATATTGCTTTACCACATCAACTTCAATACTGTACATTGAGAACCATTAACTATGAAAAATGGTACAAATACCCTTCTTTTGGAAGGGTGGAAGTGAAGCAATTTTTATAGTTGAGGGATCCAAATGTGTGGTTTTAAAGTTATGGGGGTAAAGTAATATTCAGTGATAGATCAGGGGGAAAAAGTGTAAAGAAGACTGATAGAAGCAATATCTAGTCCTTCATGCCATCTGTCCACAAGTAATTTTCCACAAGGACTTCACACTAGCACTCCTTTTGGTAATACGCCAAACAATTAGGTAGCCCAACTGAAAAGCCCAATTGAAAAACTAAGTCCTTTTATGATACATGTGAAATCTCCTTCTGAACAAAAAGGTCCACACAGTATCCTACTTTCCCACAATGACCTGTTTTGAGTCTTTCAGACTTCTTCCAGTTACTAGGAAAGCAGTTATAACATGGCTCTTGTCATGGTGTCCAACCATCATGTCTCCCAAATAACAGTGGGTGTTTTACTCGTGTATTGTGTAGTGGTAGCATTTTGCATCATCAAATTATTCCTTTTAGAATTTCCAATTCTTTTTTTATTTTTTTTCCCTCGTCTCTTAAAAGATTGTATCCATGTCAGGTTTTGCCAACAGCAGTATTATTAGTGCAATTAACCCAAAAGATGGAAGAAAGTATTAACATGCTCAAAAATTTTCAAGTAAAACCACATAGAGAGACAGTACCCAAACAAAATGCCTGATTCCAAGCCATAAATAATTTCCTCAACAACTTCAGATTGCATCTGCAAGGAAAATGCACATCACAACATAGAAGGGGAAATCCCAAGCTGACGCTTTGTAGTTTGATAAAACAATACATAATATTAGGAAGAAAAAAAATACCATCTCTTGTTCTCTTCGGTGACGTCTGTAGATGCGAAGCCATCCATTAAGTAGTACCTACAGTCATGAGATTTCTGTTAATGCCTGAATCATATCGACAAATTTAAGAAACAATTTCTTTAACAAAACCCTAATAGCAGTGATAAGACAAACAAAATATAGCACTGGTGGAAAACCATACAGCATAAATATATCACACAAATAGGAAAAGAAGGGCAGTAACAATCTAGAAAACTAAATCAGTAACAGAAACAGGGAATTCACAATCTACTGCATCTTCCAGCAAATCAGCCCATTTAGAGCCAAAAAAATAAGGCTCAAAATAGAAGGGATTACTATTTTGTAAGTGACAACAACTAACCCTTCATAAGAACTCAGCATTTTTTTTTAATGCTAGCAATGTAGTACTGTACTTGATTTTTAAATGAACTAGGTATAATTACTCATCCATAATACACATTACATCATAACAAATGATCAAAATTTGTAGTTTCATCCATGTTTTGTAGCAGTTCTTTCTTTCCTGGGTAGTTCCGTAAGTGATAGTTCCGTAAGTGAAGGCAGTACAATTTGTATCCGTTAGGCAAATCTAAAATAAGTGTCATCGTAAAGGGCAAGCAGTTAAATATGAATACTAATTTTTAGTTTCACAAACACAATTAAGCACTCACATTCAAAATTCACTATAATCTTAAATCGGAAAAGCAATTATTAATATTTAATTTGGTATTGCTCAGCAGCACAATTCCATGAGATCCATATGTCAGAGGCTTACTCAAGGTTTTATAAAGCAACCGCAACCGTTACGTAATGCCATTACGTAACGGTTTTGGCGGTTACCGCCACCCGTTATGGCCGCTTTTGCAGTGTGATTGAGATTCACAGGTGTGTCGGCCGAAGCGGCTGCCATAGCGGTCGTAACGACCTGTTACGCACCGTTACGTAACGGTTCCAAACTGTTTCTTTCGAAAAAACACACAAAAAAAAGCTAAAAATGGGTGAAGAGGGATAGAGAGAAGAGGGAAGATAAAGAGAGAAAATAGAGGAGCAAGAGATAGAGAGAGAGAGAGAGAGAAGAGGGAAGATGAAGAACATGTTATTGATTTGTTGAAACTATAAGACCTATACTATTCTATTCAGCTGCTACCACTAAACCATTTTGTTTGTGTGTGTCTATCAATATATTGTTTGAAAATAATAATAATAATAAGTGTGGTCATTATCTATTTGGCTTGGTTAAAATATGTATATGTATATATATATATTTAGGCTCTTATTTATTCTCTTACTTTTATCATTATTTATCTTATATATAATAGTTAGTGATTAATTTTTTGTAAAATATAAAGTCATTAATTATTAAAATAAAATATAAAAAACTCAGTTTATAGTGATTTAAAAATATGAAATATATTGGATCATACTTAAAAATTTATAAAAATTGATCAATATTTATTTTTAACCCAATAAATATGATCATGGAAAAAAAATATGCGTATCGGTAAGTTTTTTTCAAATTGTACGAAAAATAAAAAAATTCACAGTTCCGCTTACCGCAACCGTTACACTACAGCCTTTACACCCCACAACCACAACCGCAACCGCGTCACCACCACCGTTACGGCGACCGCAACCGTTTTTCTGAACCTTGGGCTTACTTGACACCTAGACATTAGTCATTTTGCAACCCAACCTAATACCAAGGTAACACTGCTTTACACACATAGCTGTAAGGCAGTATTCTATGCAATGCAGCAAGGATAAATGCAATGGCATCAATAGAATTTCATATATAGATACATGCACCTATGTATAATTCAGACAGCAAAAGCATGTTCTCATATACCAATCAGTAATACTTTACAAACAGATTCTTGCACATAATTTCCATACAAAATGATGTGGCAGTTTGTGGTCCTTTAATTTCAAACCAGAACACTAACAATCATGAATCATAATTTCAAAAATACCTCAACCACATCATTTTGGACGGATTTTCCTATACTAAAATTAGATGGTGCATAGAATAGAATACCTACAAACAAGAATGCAACAACAAACGCCAGCCAAGGTAAATGGGCAATAGATATTGAAGAAGCCTGTTGTTCCTCCCCTCCAGCCCCAACTCCTGCACATAGAAAGATTATTACTAATTGTACCTTAAAATTGGCCTAATGAAAATCAAAACTAATTATGAGACACCTCAAAGTGTCAAGTTTTAGAAACCAGCTGAAAAATTCTTTCAACCAATTACTTGGCAATTGTATAACAAAACCCAGAACCTTCTGTATAAGAAAATAGGGAAATTGCAGGAGACATGGTTTTCACAATTCAACCTTATCAATCTCAGATTCTCAGTAGTTAGGCCATATTTCAGTTAAGAGGTGGTATCCAATTCCCAAATTTCTGAACCATCTCAACTATCACACGTAATCAGAAATAGATGGAAAATCTAAATAGTAAACTGAAATTGTACATACGATGTGCTCTTTTGAGGAAACAGTTATGAGGCAATAGTCCCAAAATTCAAAGCACTGGCATAAAAAAGGCACTTTACCAAGCCAAGAGGACCATTAGAGAAAAACTGTCATTTTTTATTTTTATATATCTTTGATTTAATTTTCAAAAATTCTGAATACATGCATTGAAGAAGAGAAGAACAGCCTCGATTGGAAAGCCCGCCATAGAGTAGTTTTAGAAACTTGGTTGCACAAAGAAATTAAACATGAGAGGAAAAAAAAAAGGAGTAAAAAAGGACAAGCTATTATGAGCTATAATGTAGTGACACCCATAACATCAGAAGCATAGAAGACAGTGGCACATATGCATTTCTGCATTCTCATCCAAAGTGCCAAAAAATTGTCTAACTAATACGAAGTGATCAAAATCTGCTTAAACTAAGGGAAGAAACTATTATCAATCATAAGATAATCAAATGCTTTCATGACACAGTTTTGATCATTCAAGTACATGTATGCCAGCATAGACCATTCTGGTTCAAGCCTTATTACGCTAAACTGAGATTATTTTACTTAAAATGTAATTTCACTGTTGCTCCCATTTTGTCCAAGCATGCTCTTCTAATTAAAATAATCAATACCAAGAAAATATGAAAATTTCAGAAGATAATTGTAAAGATCCGGTACCTATGGTACCAATTCCAGCCAAAGCTATCCCCACCCAGTCAATAATATTCATCCTTTCCTTCAGGTAAAAATGCGAAAAGACAGAAAGAATAGCAAGTCCGCAGCCAGAAACCGGTTGGATGACAGATACCTGTGGTACACTGGAGATTAACAAGGAAATATATAGGTACATAATCAACAGCATCATCAACTGCTCACTATGTGGAAAGCAATTTCATCCACAAGGAAATGTAAATTGTGCATCTATTTTTTTCAAAATCTATCGTGCCTGCATTATTTAAATAAGTAGTTTACTACAGAATTGATTATGCATAAATTTACAGATACTTGATCCGACATAGAACAAAATATTCATAACATTGCCAATATAAGTCTCCATATTTTTAGAACACTGATAGCATTTTCTCAAGATCTTATACACCACTTCATTGCCACTACAAGTTTCCACAGATTTTAAAAAAAAAAAGTAGCAGTAGTTACATCCTCAATATAATCTCCATGCATTTGGGAGCTTAATGAACCTTTTTATCAATAGATAAGAACCTTGATCCCAAGAATCTTGCAATGTTTTTTGTATTTTATTTGTATGAGAAAAACTTTTAACATAAGAAGGCAAAGAAGAAAGAGGAGCTTTAAGCTTGAAACCTCCAGCATGACTTTGTATTTGTAGTTCAAGAATTTAACAGGGCTACAATTCAAATTCAAAACATAGTCAACTCCTTGTGCCTTTTCCAATTCAAAACCATGGTTCCCCTAATGACGCACCTAACGAGGCCTAGGTAACAGAAAAGAATTAACCTTAACTTGCAGTAACACAATAACTTAAAAAATCCTTTTCAAAGCATTCTCAATAAACAATTTAAAATCTTGGTCATACAAATATACCGTACAAACCCCAATGAAAGTATTTTTCAACAAATAAGAGTTAAAAATAGAAACAAGTATGCCATAATATATAAGAGATCATTTGAACATTAATTGAAGTATGCAATGCTTGCTGATGCTGAACTTACGGGAGCTTGAGATAATGCTTGCAACATCAACGCGGCTCCAAACATGTCCATTAGAAAACCTATGATCCATGCTTTATTGAAAGCATATGCTCTTATCACCTACAAACACAAAACAATAAAAACATTTGCTCAATTAGGTTCCACAAGAGAGAAAATTTTGGTCATTCAAAACATTAAGAGCCTGTTTGGTATCCAAGAATGGAATAAAGTGGGAATGAAATGAGAGTGAGGCTGAAATATAAAGTTGAATGGAATGCAATGTCCATTCTCATTCCATTGTTTTGGTTGCCAATGTGGAATGACGTAGGCATGGAATGACAATTCACGCTCTCATGTTTGATTATGTCCATTAAACTAGTGAAATGGAATGCTTTTTTTTTAAATCAAACCAACCAATCTAAATATTTGTCAATCATAATAGTGTAGATAGTTGTAGAAGTGGTGGTGGTTGTGGTGGCGATGTGTCAACAATACTAGAATGGTAGTGGTGGTAGTGGTGGCAATAGTGGTAATTGGGTGGTTGTTGTAGTGGTGGTGGCAGTGGTAGGGTGGTGGTTGTGACGGTGTTGATGATGGCCTGATGGGGGGTAGCAATGGCGGTGGTTGTGGTGATAATGGTAGTAGGATGGTGGTGGTAGAGTGGTAGTTATAGCATCGATGGTGGTAGTGGCGATAGTGGTGGTCCTAGGAGGATGGTGGTGGTGGTAGAGTGGTAATTGTCGTGGTGGTAGCAATGGTGGTCATGGGGGTAGCTGTGTTGGTGGTGGTACTAGGTGGCGGCATGGCGGCTACAGTGGAAGGGGGGTGGTGGTAGCAAAAGGGGATGGTGGTAAGGGATGACCAACAAACACAGTTTAAAGGTGATTCCATGAGGGAATGAAATGGACATTCCTTAACTTGGCAAAAGAAATAGGTATTCCCACTTACATGAAACATAACCAAACAAGGGAGATGTGGAATACATAGCTAAAATGGGCATTCCATTCCAGCTCATTCCGTCATACAAAAAGTACAGTTTGTTTGAGAATGAGTTGCTAACTTGGTAGGTGGAAAACATATACTACACCTTAAGGCTATCACTATCTGTCACATGTTAGAAAACACCAATTAATCCCTTAAAAACAATATGTCAATTTATTTGCAACATTTTTATCATTGTTGTGTTGTAAAATTCTAAAATTTATATCTTCAATTATTTTTTGTTAAAATTGCTCCACGGATATAAAACCTCAAAAAAGATTACCCTCACACGCAAAATACTTGAAGGTAAGCTAAAAAGTATGGACACTTCTAAAAAGGTTCTATATCTGTGTCGAGCACATGTTGGACACCGACATATGTCAAAATGTATATTGTTTTATTTATTTATTTTTATTTTTTGGAACCTGACACATTTTGAACACTTGAGGGGGAACACACCGTGTCCTCCATCACTGACACACATGAAACACATTGCAAATTTGAAGAAATAACTTAGGATTTAATAATAAAATAAAAATAATGTGAATTTATAACTATTAATCCCTCCTTTAAATTTTAATTGAAGGAATTCTAAAGTCCAAGCTCCGCAATTTGTTTATGAATAAAGCTTTCTAAAATAGACTCATAAATTTATTTGTAGTGTAAAAACTCAAGAAATAGTTATCATTTTCATGTATACATATAAAAGATACATTTATTTGGTGTCATGTCTTTGCAGTGCCATGTCTTGAATTTTTTGAAAATCAGTATGTCGGTGTGTTGGGTATTGTGTCATATCTGTATACCCCTTCTTAGAAGCCTAAGGTTATTGAGAAAAATCAAGTATTCATTTGAACATATCGTAATTCAATATAACAATGTGGCTACAGATTGTAATTTAGAAGATGATATGAAATGGACTCCTTGCATGCACAACCAAGCAACCACAAGTCTTTCCAACTGAATTTTTTTTTATGTAGATCCAACAACATCAATCCCCAACCAATGAACCTCCAATTTCAATAAATCAACCAATTTTTTTCAAAAAAAATAAAAATAAAATGCTGTTTCACGCCACCTACATAAACTAATTCAATGATGCAACGTCTTAACACATCAAACCATTGAACAGTGCTGTTGAATCAATGAATCTAATTGTTTGCTGGATTGAATTCGCAGAAACATTCCGATTAACAAAGAATTCGAAATGAATTAATACAGACAATCCAAAAACAAAATTGAAATCGAGAGCTTAGGCATGAATCCGAAGTGTATGTAAATGTATATAAGGATGTAGATATGGAGATATAGATAGGGAGAGAGAGAGAGAGGAGAAGAGACGTGCCTTGAGCTTGAAAGAGAGAGGGGGTAGAATGACGGTGCCCTTTTTCTGGAGGACCTTGCCGATGTTGTTGCCGGCGGTGGCCGCAATCGTTAGGCAGATCGATTCCCACATCTCTTCTCTCTCTCTCTCTCTCTCTGTCTATACAAACATATATGTATGTATGTATGTATATACAAGCAATGAATTGTGTATGTCTCTGTCCGCAGGATCAACTACTTCCTCCTGGCTCTGGTTTTGCCTCTCTCTCTCTTCCCCTCCAGCTTAGGCATGAATCCAAAGTGTATGTAAATGTATATAAGGATGTAGATATGGAGATATAGATAGGGAGAGAGAGAGAGGAGAAGAGAGACGTGCCTTGAGCTTGAAAGAGAGAGGGGGTAGAATGACGGTGCCCTTTTTCTGGAGGACCTTGCCGATGTTGTTGCCGGCGGTGGCCGCAATCGTTAGGCAGATCGATTCCCACATCTCTTCTCTCTCTCTCTCTCTCTCTGTCTATACAAACATATATGTATGTATGTATGTATATACAAGCAATGAATTGTGTATGTCTCTGTCCGCAGGATCAACTACTTCCTCCTGGCTCTGGTTTTGCCTCTCTCTCTCTTCCCCTCCGAATTTACGTTTTTGTTTTCTAGGCCGAGATAATTTCTCTCATAAATGAAGGAAATTGAGAAAAAAATAAAAATGTTATTTTGACTAATTAATTAATTTATTTAATTTGTTTTCTAAAATAATATAATCAATACTGAAGTAAAAAGATTAAGCGAAAACTGTTTGTATCGGACTCGTCTAAAAAATCCTTCCTCAATTGAGATGTTATCAAAAAAAATTTAATATTATATCCACACTCAAAATTTAAACAACAGATAAAAAAAGATTTCTACGAAAGATTTTTTTTTAAGTAAAATTGCACTTAGAATAATATGTATGCAACTCAAACACTTCCTAAGATAATTTTTTTAATTATCTTATGTTATAACTTATGTGAATTATTTACAATTCATGTAGACGCTCTATGAATTATGAATCTAATCAAATCCGATCCAATTTTTAATAAATGTTTTTTTTCTGTTAAAAAATTAGATAAATCAAAAAATAATTACAAATCAATGAATTAGTGTCCGGTGGAAATGAAAATTATGCCCCCATATTTCATTTATATGATTTTTTTTACTTTCTTACTTACTCTACTTTTATTGACATATAAGTGATAAATAATTAAACTACTACCGTTTTACCAAACAACAATGATAGAGACCACTAATTTTGGAACTCTAAAAAGATCACTAATGACATGACACTCAATAAAAAAAAAAAAAATATAACACCAAGGCCAAAACGTCAAATCATTCATGGTGGGACCCACTGTCACATCATTAGTGGTAGCACTAATTAGTGCTCTCACTCATTTTCCTTTACCAAAAAAGGTTTTAAAAAAATAAAATGAAATAATTAAAAGCAAAACAAATTCGTTTATAGTTTTCTTTGTCTTTTTTTCTTTTTTCTTTTTTTATAAATAACTTGGAAGAAAAATAGAGTTGAATCTATAACCTTCTATAGAGATGTTCTCATTATTGATTTGATTTTAGTGTACATTTTTTGCTAGATTTAAGATCAATACGTATTTGCTTTAGCATAAAAATCGTAATCTTGCATTTCTCATTTTATACCTTATTTGTTTTTTATGTCTAAATTTAATTCTTATTCCATATTTTGTAAAAGTATTAATTTCACTGTCTCAACATCTCTCTAATTTTTCTTATCCCATCAACAAATAGGATAGGGATAAAACACTATTAATCTAGTCGTGTTCCATTTGCTCTTCTTTTTTCCTGTTATTAGTTTATTTGTTTTTAACTTTCATGCTATTGAAAAAAAAAAAAAAAAAAACCACCAATGTCTTGCCTCATCGGAAGTTTCTGAACCTAAATATCACATAATACTAACAACAAATTTTGCTAGCATTTTCCTTCTTCACTTTGCTTTTAATTGTTTTTTACAATCCAATTGTTGTGAATACCAAGATGGAACAATACTCAACTTTGAAGGTGTAACCTAACTTCATTGCTAAAGTTTCTTAATATATTATTAAAAAATTAAAATAATTTCACCGTGACTCAAATTTGGAAGCATTAATGCTGTGTTTGGTTAGGAAATTTGAGAACAGATTTGGAAAGTAAAAGGAGAAACGTAGGTGAAATGTGAATAAAATATACTTATATTTGACATAATTTCACACATTTTTTCCCTTTCATTTTTTAAAGAGAAATTTGACTATAAACCCCTTTATCTTCCTTTCATTGTTAAAAGGATTAAGAAAAAAATTATACTTTCTAAACTCCCTCATAATTATAAAGTCTTACATAAAGGACAAAATTTATTATTTAAATATTTTATTAGACTATTATACCCTCAACTAAATCTTCCTACTTTCTCCATCCACTTTTCTCCCCACATTCTCTGTCTCTCTCCTCCCCTCTCTCCCTTCTCTAACTCCTTCAAGCTTCAGATCTGGAAGCTCAGCTAGCGCCTCTGGAACTCCTGCGTCAACCTCGCCAACGCCACCGGCGTCCAATCCTCTTCCGCCGCTCCCTCCGGCGAACATGCCAAGCTCCGCTACGTCTCCGCTGATTTGCTCTTCCTATGTATATGTGTATGTATGTATGTATTTATATATATGTGTGTGCATGTATGTATGTATATATGACTCATACATACATGTGTATATGTATATATATTCGTAAGTGAGTGTATGTATGTATATTATGCGAAGGCTATGAAGGCGATTGTCGCCGGACTCTAGCTATAGATATACACATATTTATATATATAGAGAGAGAGGCAAATATGTTGATGTACGATTACCATTTCCACCGATTTGAGGTTCAATACCGATCTAGGGTTCTAGATCAACACTGTCGCGACACTCTAGGAGGCGACAAAGGCATGTTTGGTGGAGTTGTTTTGTTATACATATTTTTTTTAAAACAGATCTGAGTTTTGAATATATATTTGTATATATATATATATTTGTGTATAAATGTTGTTGAACGCATGTATTCTTTGAAATCAAAAGATAAAGAGATATTTGGATGTTTTTGTTTAGTTTTTGATTTGTGTGTTTTGTGGTTATATATCCTTGTAATATAGATTTGTGTTTTTATTAGTTTTTGAATTGATTTGTTCATACTCAGCCTGTTCAATGGATGATCGATCTATTAAAATGGATGATCTATTCAATTTCTCTCTCTTTCTCTCTCTTTGATAAGAATCTGTCTAATAAGAATTTCACACAGAAATTTTACTAACCATAGTAAAGTTTACTCTGAATCAGAGTAAAATTTTACTCTGGTTAAAAACATGTTGATTTGCTTAAAAATATAAAATTTTACTTTGAATCATAGTAAACTTTACTCTGAAATTTTGTTTTGGTTAAAAACATGTTGATTTGCTTAACAATATAAAATTTTACTTTGAATCATTTACTCTAATTTAGAGTAAAATTTTACTCTGAAATACACTGTGAAGATGGCTTAATAAGAGAGCTGATAGATATGACGGTAATATAGTAAAAGAAACAAAATTTAAAATATTAGAGGGTTTTAAAAGTACCTATATAATTCTTGTCATTTTCAAAGACAAATTAAATAGTGAGGGGTCTATCACCAAATCCCCATTTGTTAAATCTTTTCTCAAATCTCTCCACTAAACAAAGTATAAGTATTGTTTCGTAACGTCAATCCAAAATTATATAACAGATAACTTTTGAACCTCACGTATCAAATTTGACTTGCCATTAACACAACATCAATGAGAATTAGAGTTTGTCCACATCCTTCATCTTTATTTCCTAAACTAGTTGAGTTTAGGTCTTAATTTGAGTTAATTAACAAAAAAATTAGGTTAATCTCTATTGAAAGAGACACAGTATACTAATCTTTTATGCCCCTTTTAATTAATTAATGTACATGACATTGCCCATTTATCTGTCTGATGATGGTTTTGGGGTTGGATGTTGGTAAGTGTACCTCAGAGGCCACCAAGGCATATTCCTTTTTTCGTCTGATTGAAGCAATTTCATGTGACTGCCTTGCCCCTACCATAGTCTATGTTTTATTTCTATTAATAATAAAATGATTTGGTTTTGTTTTCTCTATTAATTATTGCCAAAATAGCAATGTGATAGCTCTAATTTTACATATTATAAGGTCAAAATATTAATTTTTAATAATATTAAAGTTAAATGTAATAGTATCATATGATTGCTCATTTCTTAATAATATAACTGCTTACCTACATAATTTAGTTAAAGAACCTTACAAAATGAACAGTTCGTGAGTTTTACATTAATGAGGCAATTTTGCAAATTTTGTACCAAATTTAACAAACAATTTTGATAATGTTTTTTTTTTTTTTTTGGCTGACTATAGCAGGAACCCACCACGGTTTATTGTTAGTTTTTTTTTTTTTCAAAAAAAAAAAAGAGAGAGAAAAATAAAGAACAGATATGCAAGGTCTCTTTTAATGTTTGCACCTTATGATTCTTATAATTTAATGTCAGCATCTTATCATTCTCATTTCATTGTTAAAGACACCACTTGAGAAGTCAACCATGGAATGGAAGCATCTCATTTTATTTTATTTTTCTGTAGTGTTAACTAATACTTCAAGATTTGATGGTGGTCTATGATACTTGCACTTCATCCATTTCCAAAAGCCCATGCTAAAAACAACCTAATATGATGTCATTAAGGAGAAAAATGCCAAAAATGCAAATCCCAAAATATTTCTAAATATATTGTATATTTTACTAATGTTTTTTTTTGCACATTCTCATACAATTTCAAATATATAATGACTATAAAAAAATTCAAATTGATTCAATAATTATATAATTTCACCGTAGTGTTTTTTTTTTTTTTTATAATTGGAAAACAGATCATTTTTTTTAACACAATAAATTTATTTGGGGTGGCTAATGTAGTCGGCTCAATCTCATTATTTTCATGGATGATCTATATTATTGAGACCTAAAAACTGAATAGAGAGGCATGTGAAGTCGACCTAATAAAAAGTTGACAAAGAATTTGTCAAAAGATGATTAGCAGCATAAGATAATTTGCAAGGAAATACATCAATCAATGCAGACAGGCTGAGCATTTACAATAGAGACATCATAAATAATTCTCAAGTAGATCCCCACACGTTATTGAGAAACAAATCACAACAATGGCAGCAATATCATGAGGCCCACACCACGCCAACCACTTCAGTGTGAAAATGAAAATGTTTTCAGTTGATTTTCCATAAAAACAAACAAACAGCACAAAAACCATCCTCCAGAACAGAGGTATCGCAAGAGAAAATTAACAGCAATATTGCGAAGGAAAGGGTGGTGATACAGAGCTCTAAATTGAGCTCTACTTATATGGCAATGAAAAAAAAAAGAAAAAAGAAAAAAGAAAAAGAAGAAGGCCAAAACATCACATCAATAGTGGGACTCACTCAATAAAGCTCTTGGTTTAGAGCTCTCAAACATTTTCGTATTATACAAACACTTGAGCCATCACAACCTATTGGCAAGTAAATAAGTGAATGATGCAATTCCTCGACAAGCTATGCTATGCGTAATATGCAGTAGACTAATTCACAATGCTATGCAGAACAAGTGACATTCATTTCCCATGCTATGAAAACACAAGAAAATAATATCAATTCTAAATTTGCCAAAATGATTCCCATTATGTCCAATATACATAATTTCCAATGACCAAGACGAGCTTCTCATTCATGCAATAGTAGTCAAAAAAATACAACCTGAGGGAAATTCTGTATTGGAGAATATACTCAATTGGTAAGTCTACTATAAACCAAACAAATCGACAAACACTTGAATACCGATAAATGAAAGCAAGGATGAAGGTGCAGCCAGCTTGGTAAAGTCTCTTGCAAGTGGAAATAAACCTATGGTCCATTTGGGGACATTCGATAAAATTGGAACAATGCAGAGAAGATTAGCATGGCTATAAGGATGACACACACAGATCGAGAAAATAGACCTATAATTGAAGATCATCATTGAACCAAAAAAATAACAACAACAAACATTTAATAAACTTTAATCATACAATCTAAGAGAGTCAGTGGTCAAGACAAACAGTTTCCAAATGTCAAGCCAACCTCAAAAAACACAAACTTTAACCATACCAAACAGAAACTTTAATCATACCAAACTTTAATTTCAAAGGAGTCCAACGTCACAATCAAAGTTTAGGAAGCAAATTAACAAAAGATAACAGATAGAGGAGACATCAGAATTCAAACAGCCAAAATAGAAATTCTGAGACAATCAAACATATTTTCCCTGTTTGGGTCAAATTCAGTCAAACCATCCTCCTAATAAATAAAGTTAATGGGTGAACTTAACCATGCTTGCAAAACAAAGTAGCTCAAATTAGATAACCTAAATCTAGAATTCGTTATAACACACACCTACAAGTGAATCACACAATTATAAGCTCGGAGGTTGGAATATGAGACATAACATTAAGAAAGGGTTCACCATCTTCATTACTGAATTTGAACTCTCTGCCATTCTTTCTCTCCAATAATCTTTTTGTGGCCAAAACCATGGTTTTAAAAACCAAACCGGACCGGACCGGCCGGTTCAACCGGTTGAACCGCCGACCGGTCGAGGTTCCGGTCCGGGTACACCCAGTAAACCGGTCATAGTAGAAAACCGGCCTATTTTGAGAGAACCGGAAAAAACCGCCGGTTGAACCGCTGAACCGGTCGACCCGGTTCCGGTTCACCGGGTTTTAAAAACAAATTTTTTGTATTTTTTTCTTTGTTTTTTTTATTCTTTCTTTCTTTCCTTTCTTTCTTATTTTATATATATTATATATTATGTATTATATATATATAATAAAAATTTAATTTGAAACTCTCTTTTAAGGGTTTCCTCTTGTGAGGAATCCCATTGAGAGTTTGAAATTATTGTGAAAGCTTTTATCTATTTATAAGAAAAAAATTCTTCTAAAAAAACTCAAGAAATCTATGTGGGATTCAATCAAATTTATTGGAGGAAAACTTAAAATTTTGATATCCCTCCAAAATTTTTGCTCTTCTTTCAATCAAATTACTTGAATTAAAATCATATGGAGGGAATATTAAATATTTGATTTCTTCTTCCAAAATTAAAATTAATAATATTTTTAAATATATTTTTATATTTTTTAATAAAAAAAGTATTAAGAGAAATATTTAACATTATTAAAATTTTTAATTTTTAATTTTATTATTTTTATTTTTATTTAAATATAATTTTAATATATTTATGACGTCACGGTTCGATTCCGGTTCCCGTCCACCCAATCATTTTTCCAGTTCACTCACCGATCCGATTTTTAAAATATTGGTCAAAACCATAGTGAAGGTTTAAAAATAAAAACAAAATAATATTAAAATAATGCATTTTTATTTTAAACTACACATTTCAAAGCTGTGTCATTTTGATTTAACTTTAAACATGAACGGTTGGATTAGAAAAACAAGATCGGCAGAAGATCCTGTTCCGTGGCTACCACCTCAATACACCTGACCTTGAGCCATTTGAATTTTGAAGCACCATGGAAACACCATGGTATGCACTTTTAACTAGCAGCCTCACAACACACAAATAAACCAATAACAATAATTTGTAAAGAATCATTAAGTAAAAAAATCAAATCCAAAATGAAACTATAGAAAGTTATAAACAATTAAAATTAGAGAAAAAGAGACAAGATCATCACTGGAAATTCCACATCATGAATTTATGATGAAAGCAAATTTGAGTTTCTCACTCAAATCACCATCTCTAATACTTACATATATATATATATATATATATACCAACATCATGAGTTGGTAAAAGGATCATACAAAGATTTCAACCCATAAAGAACCTAAAAAGAAAGAATTAATAACAAAATTACCCCAAAATAGTCTGTTTGGTTGTGCTTTCATTTTCTGTTTTCTCTTAACATTTTCCAGAAAACACATGTAAGCTCAATTGGCAAACTCTTCACAAAAAAAAAAAAAAAGATAAAAACTTCTTAAAACAACCTACTTTTAAGGAAACACCAACTGATTGTTTTCAAATTTTGGAAAATGTTTCTTACAAAGATGAAAAAGATATGGAACGAACAATGAGTGTTTTTTTTCGAACTTTTCATTTTTCTTTTCCCTGAAAAAGGAAAACACAATCAATCAGGGTCTTTTGAGAAAACCCACATCATGAATTTAAGATAACAGCCCATACCATGACACAACTTTCTAATTTACCAAACAGTCATCAAGCACAAAACATGAAAACAAAGTGGTATATGAAAAAACTCATAAAATCACCAAAACCCATAGACAACCCGGGTGTACCTATCCTTGAGCCACTTGAAGCTCTTCCTCAGAGACCCTTTGACCTTCCCTTCAACAGCATAAGCCTTATAGCTTGCAACCCTCTTCTTCCTCTGAAACTCAGGGTCTTTCAAACCCCAAGATTTTGAAGAAGACCCAATTGAGCTTTTGCGTTTCTTCAACTTCAAACCTTTCACACCATCCATCTGGGTTTGTGGTGGTGGTGGATAACAAACATATGAAGCATTGAAAGACCTGAAGTCATGAGGATTTGAAGTGGGTCTGTGTCCTCCATAGTAGCTATGTATTTGCATCCTACCATCACCAGCATATGAGTTTGATCTGTAATCTGCCATGGATTCACTGAGAGAAAGATTGATTAAAGTTGAGGAATGGGGGTAGTCTGATTTTGGGTCAGGGGGAGAGAGGGAAGAATGGAATTCGACAAGGGCAAAGGAAACTGTACTCTACTTATAAAAGTGTGTGGCTTTTATTTTTCAGATTTTTACTTTTATTTTTGAATAGTATTTAAGACTTTCAGTATTTTTCATTAAATTTGTCGCAATGTGGTAGGCGAATATATATTATTGGGTTAAAACACAACCAATTAAAACTCAATTTTCTTGTTTTATTATCGTAGAAGAATTTATAAATAACATTTTAAAATTTTCTAACACTCTTATGTTGTGTTTAGTTGGGAGATTTAGGAAGGAAAAGAGAAAATGTTTGTGAAACTATGTGAAATGTAGGTATATTTTTTTCACATTTCACCTATATTTTTCATTTTCCTTTCCAAATCCCTACTCAAATCCCTCAACCAAACACAGTATTAATGTATTGAATTGTTTTAATTGGTTAAGAGGTATGATTTTCATATAAAAAATTAAGAAGTAGATTAATAGTTAAAATTTTATTTTTTATTTCCCTTTCAAAAGACATTAGTCAAAATGAAACTTGTGTTTTGGAAAATTTTAACCTAAAGTTAACTTCCTTTTTTCTTTTTCTTTTTTCAAATGTCAAATCCAAGTTATTTCTCTCACAAATATATATATATATATATATATAAATGTTTCAAGAACCATCACCAGATCAAGTTTTAGAGGGGGAGGGGGGGAACATTTTCAGGAGATAATTATTGAGTTGTTTTTATCAAATTAAAATTCAAATTAAGTAATTTAAGGAAATGTATTTTTTACTTTCAATTTAAAGTTGTATTTCAAGGCGACTATGTCAAACAATAAAATGGGGTGTGTTTTTAAAAGATGAAATTGTATTTTATAATACTTCAATAAAAACTACTAATTTCAAAAAAATAAATTATAAATAAAGTGAGTTACTAAAATTAATTACAGAATCAAACATAATCCTCTCACAACCCATTTCATGTGAAAAAGTTATGTCTATTCTATAATCGATATTTGTATTCTAATTTTTATTTTATTTTATTTAAAGAATCAAATGTAACTTACAAAATTTGCACTATTTTTCGTCTACTCTTTAAAGTTCTGTGGAATTTTCTTGGGCTTCGCCTTGAAATTTATTGCCTTTCTTTAAAAATGGGCCATGATTTGTTTTATTGTTGAGATTAAACTACTGACCATCTATTTCATTGACTTGGCCAATCTGAGTCAATAGAACAAAATATGATGGCAAAAATATGAAAATGATGCATACAGACATATATGTATGAAGCTTTGCACTAATGAGAATGAGTCAAATTATAATTTGGGTTAATTGCATGAATATCCCAATTATCATTGAGATATCATTTCATTTTTTCTATTATAAAATTATATAATGTGTGTGGGTGTTGATTTCTGACCACACAACCAAACTGGAAACTTAACTGGCGAGTAGCGGCAGAATAAATTAAGTCCAAACACGTGCCAACAAGAATATGAGAATACCGCAGTGGTTCGTCCATTTGGGAACACTCCGACGATTAAGTCAATAATCTTATCTCTCACAGATATCAATACAAGTACTTAAACTTCAATAATGAAAGCATAAAAGCATCTCAAATAAAGCATACCTTAGACCCACGAGGGTGCCTTACTTTTATAATGATCAGTGTCCAACTTCCCCTAGAAGTCTTACTTCATGAGACGTTATCCTTTACAAAGATAACTCACTCAAGAGTCTCAGAACACGTGGCATCTCGGCTGACGTCAGGACGGGCACGTCAGGACTCGAAATCATAACTTTTTGCCATATTTTTCTAATTCCAGCAAAACTATTTCATCTTCCTATTTCATCTCGAAATCACAACTTTTTGCCATATTTTTCTAATTCCAGCAAAACCATTTCATCTTCCTATTTCATCTTTATCTATGTCCCTAGACTGTCTTTCTCTTGGCCTCTGCAAACCATCATCGATGTTCTTAAAGCATTCATATTACTGTGAAGACTCCCTTTGTGCCCAAGGTTCAAACTTTACCAGCTGAACCAGACTAATAGCCAAACAATTCATCAGCTGCTCCACACATCAACCCACCATCTCAATAGCAGTGAAAACACCGACATAGCGACAATCTTGCAGCTAGAACCAAGAACAGGAAACACCGAGGTCCTAAGCTCCCAGTCTTAGACCTTGATAATTTTCCAATCGCCTTATCTGTGAGTAACCATTGCCGTAACCAATGACGACGTCTCTCGTCGAACTCTTGTCGTAGAAGACCTTCTTGTTGACATCCCTGATGTCATGACTGTGCAATCCACTCCATCTCCTTATAGTCAATCCAACATGCTCATGCCTCCAGCAACTCAATATCTCGAAAGAGAAGCACATGAAGCAAATGGACCAAGCTACTGCTGCCAAAGCCGAGGCCATTACTAAGGCCGAAAAAACAAGTCAACATGGCCTGCAATAAAGGCTATTATCTTGATTGGATGGCAGCCCTCAAAAAGATGTTTGTCCCCGAGGACTCACCCATCCGTGATATGGGTCAGCTCAATGTCCCTTTCCATCCCTCTCCCAATCAATCTGAGGATGAGGCCGAGGAAGTAGAAAAGGCCGATGACAAGGAGGCCGGAGACAAGGAAGAGGCCGAGGCTGAGGTTGCCGAGAAAGAATCTGAAGCTACTACTGGGGCCAAGTTCCCAACTCTAAATGAGCAAGTCCTTAACTTGACTTAGGGTGAGGAGGATGAGGTTCAAAAGACCACTTCTGAGGTTGAGGTCAAGACTACCAACAAGAGCCTAGATGACACACTGCGTGAGATCGACGCCGAGATCCAAGTTGAAAAATCTGCCCAACTGTCGGCCGAGGTTGACACAATGCCAATTGCCAAGGCAGGGCAGACTGTGAAAAATGCATGAACTTTGATTTTTCCTCCTTTTTGTACTTTTCCTTCTTACTTTTGGACAGCTGTAATCTTTTGTTTGAAAAGTGTTAGCTTTATATTTGGCCGATGTGCCCCTTTTGTCTTTGTAGATGAGCAAGTAATCTCTTATACCAGGCCGAAGTGCCTTTTTGTACTTGAACAAGTTTCTTTTTTGAATACGAGTCTTATATTTTCTTCCAAGTGTTGAATGTATGCCTTCTTTTCTTCTATGCATGTTTGTTGCTTTCTTTCATGCTTTTCATGTTTCCAAACTTAGAATATTTTTGCATTTCTTCAAAATGTACCTTAACTATATAATAACTCCAGGATACAATATCTCGAATAAACCTTGACTGTTTGCCTCGGCTAGCCATTTTCATTCCTCGGCTAACACTTTAAAAATAAAAATATTTTTACAAACGTTATTGCTTTTTTACCTCCATACGTTATCTTCTAGGAATGAGCAGCGGATATACCGATCCGCCAAAATCGATCGAACCAAACCGAACCGATCTGCCATATTTTGGACAGATGCGTGATGACGAGTGGACGGTTGCGGGTTGATTTTCTTCAATCCGCCAAATTTGGAGACGGATGGTGGATTTGAGATTCTTTTGGCCGCAACCGAACCGCCAAACCGCGAGCACCCCTAATAATTTATAAGACTTTGTGTTTTCAGTTTGTTTAAATATTCTTTTTGTGTTTTCAATTAAAAAAGAATTTAAATATTCTGTTGAAAAAAAGTTTTCAACTTGAATATCTTTTTTTAATTGAAAAAAATAAACGTATTATTTATCTATATTTTTTATTTTTTAAATCTATCTCTAAAAATAATAAATAAAAAATATGATATATGCTGATTGATTTTTGTTTTCAAAAACAGATATAGATGTAATAATACAGAAACATACAATCTCTACTACTGCTCTATTCATGATTTTGGTGGTTTGAATTGTTTTTATATTTTAAGAACCACAAATTGTAATACTTTATGTGGATGAGGCATGCTGTGATTGTAGTGTGTAGATGAGGCATGCAGTGATTGTGATATTCTAAAGTTTCAAACTTTCTTACTTTGGATGAGGCATGCAATAATTGTAATATTTTTTTAAGTCATTGACTGTAATACTTTCTTTTTTTTTTTTCTTTTTTTTGAAGAAGTGCACAAGTTGAATTATGTTGAAAATTTATAAAATTTTAAACCGCCAAAACCGATTCGCATCTATCCGTCAAACCGCCAATCCACATCCGCCGGATTGGCGGACGGATGCGAATTGATTTTCTCTAATCCGCCAATCTGGCAGACAGATGGCGGATTGGAGGTTCCGTGGTCGCAACCGACTCGCGCCCACCCCTACTATCTTTTATTAAGACTTCACCATTTCCAAGTGTTGATAACTTGGTTGGTCACCTTGGGTAACATGTACCTCAAATACTTTATTCATCATTGCATCGGCTAACTCAAACTTGTAAATTTCTCCGAAATTTCAACAAGTGTTAAGCCCATTTCTGAAAATTTCAACAAGTGTCAAACTCTTAAGTTTGTTCATCACTCCAGCTCCCTGTCCCCTAATATAAACCTAAGTTCCACTTAAGTTCACATTAAGCATGTAACTATAGTCTTTTGCCGAAGTTAGATTCAAACAAAGGCTTCCCGAGGTATTTCAACCTTGGTTTCTATGTTAATGAACTTAGTTCCATTCTGAGTTTGACTCTACCAATATGGCAAGTCCAGGTTAATTCAACTTAGTTCAACTGCATTCTATGCAAGTATAATTCAACTCTGCCATATAATGAGTCTAAGTTATTCGTCATGTTTCATTCAGAAACATCCCTAACTTAGTTCAACTCTATTATATGCAAGTATAATTCAACTCTGCCATATAATAAGTCATAAGTTATTCGCCATGTTTCATTCAGAAACATTGTCAACTTAGTTCAACTCTATTATATGCAAGTATTATTTAACTCTGTCATATAATAAGTCTAAGTTATTCATCGTATTTCATTCAGAAATATCGCCAATTTAGTTCAACTCTATTATGTGCAAGTATAATTCAACTCTGTCATATAATAAGTGTAAGTTATTCGTCATGTTTCATTTAGAAACATCGCCAACTTAGTTCAACTCTATTATATGCAAGTATAATTCGACTATGTCATATAATAAGTCTAAGTTATTCGTCATGTTTTATTCAGAAACATCGCCAACTTAGTTCAACTCTATTATATGCAAGTATAATTCCACTCTGCCATATAGTAAGTCTAAGTTATTCGTCATGTTTTATTCAGAAATATCGCCAACTTAGTACAACTGTATCATATACAAGTATAATTCAACTTTACCATATGATAAGTCTAAGTTACTTATCGTGTTCACCATGGAAACGTCGCCATAAGACATTTCGGTCTTATCACACAATCATGGATTCTAACAACATTTTCATGCTTTTTTACATAGGCTTTGGCATCTTTTTGCATGTAGGGTCACCAGAATCCCTATGATATAGCTCTGTGGGCAAGGGATCTACCCCCTGTATGGATCTCGTGTAAAAAGTTTTTAACCTGGGAAAGATGTACACATCGCAATACAGGTCCAGTAAAAGTCCTTCTGTATAGATGGCCTTCTGCCGACGGGCAGAACCTGGCCGACTTTAGTCTGATCTTGTGTGCTTCTTTTTTGTCTTCTAGGATCTGGGATTTGCTCATTTAGGCTGAGCTCTTGTCTTCTCGGACCTACTTATCTAGGCGAAGATTTTGTCTTCTGGGATCTGGGATCTGGGATCTGGAATCCGGGATCTACTCACTTAGGTTGAGCTCTTGTCTTCTCGGACCTACTTATCTAGGCCGAGATCTTGTCTTCTGGGATCTGGGATCCGAGATCTTGAATTCGAGATCTGCTCACTTAGACTGAGCTCTTGTCTTCTCGGACCTAATCATCTAGGCCGAGATCTTATCTTCTAGGATCTGGAATCCAGGATCTGCTCACTTGGGCTGATCCTTCTATACTTGAAAGTCATCTCCTTAGGAGCGCTCATGCTCCCTGTCTTTGTATCCCTTCTGGAAGGGTCTTTATTCCGTTAATGTCGACATATTCTCCATCTTTGCTAAACTAGTCGTTGCCGACATGTTGATCTTGCATGATGATAGCCATCTATTCTAACTAAGTTCCCACAGACGGCACCAAATTGTGGGTGTTGATTTCCGACCACACAACCAAACGGGAAACTCAGCTGGAGAGCACTGACAGAATAGATTAAGCCCGAACACCTGCCAGAAAGAATATGAGAATACTGTGGTGGTTCATCCATCTGGGGGCACTCCGACGATCAAGTCAGTAATCTTATCTCTCACAAATATCAATACAAGTACTGAAACTTCAACAATGAAAGCATAAAAGCATCTCAAATAAAGCATACCTTAGACCCACGAGGGTGCCTTACTTTTATAATGATCAGTGTCCAACTTCCCCTAGAAGTCTTACTTCATGGGACTCTATTCTTTACAAGGATAACATTTATCACAACTCACACTATTCAGATTAAGATGAACTCCCTCAAGAGTCTCATCTCTATCCAAATAGGTAGCTTGATGTCATCTAGGACTCTAATCTTCTATCTAAATATCTTGAATTCTGGTATTATCACACTATATCTTGGCACCATAGTCCGCCCACGTGGCACCTCAGCTAACAACCTCAGCCACGTGGACTACTTAAAAATATGTCCCCACAATGTGAATAGACATTCTTTGTTTTTGTTGAGACAAGGAAGTATGAAAAAAACAGCACCACCTTCGAATTGAGGTCCAAAGATATTGAAGGTAATTTTCTCTCTTTATTAGCCCTTATAAAACCTAAAACTGTCTTCATAATAACATTGTTCAACAAGTCCAATAAGTGGGAGTTCACTCTTACTACGTTTAGCAAGTAGCTAGTTTCACTTTTACTGCATTTACGTTGTGTTTAGTTAAGAGATTTGGAAAGGAAAAGAGAAAAAGTATATGAAACTAGGTGAAATGTGAGTATATTTTATTCACATTTCACCTACTTTTTTTTATTTCTCTTTCCAAATCTCTCTTCAAATCTCCTAACCAAACACAACATTAGTAAGCAGCTCTAAGTTCAAATCTCTACGAGAACGATGTGGTTTCCATCCACCTCTATTTCCAGCTTCTACTCGCTAGAATCCTTGCGGAGTTATATGATTCAAATCCATTTCAAAAATTGTTTACCTTAGCAATACCTTACAACACTAAAAATTAACCTTCTCAAGTGCTAGATGTAAATGTTCGCTTTCACAAGTTTTATACGTGACTACTTACCTAAAATTCACCTTTTACTTATCAAAAAAAGTTTACTAAGATGTCGTTTGGGAAGTGGATTGACTTTTTAATTTTTTTAACTATTTTAGTTTGGGACTAAAAAACTTGGCTTAGAAAGGGCTTTAGACTTTTTTGACTTTTTTAACTTTTTTGTGAAAAAAAGAATGTAATGATTATGGGTTGAATGTGATATTTTGTCTTATTGGGCTAAAAAATCTATTTTATTTTTTGTGACTATTTTAGTCAAAAAAGCCTCAAAACTATCTTCCCAAACGGAGCTTAACTGAACTGGCCCAAGCACAGATCTCCCTCTCAAAAACCAACGCCAAAAAAGAGATTCATTAAATAAGTAAAAAATTGCTAAAAACATTCCTTCCATTTTTTATAGAGTAATGTCAGATATCTCAAATGAATTATCAAATATTCTATCAAACACTCACATGGGTATGAGACCATGTAGTATGAGACCATGTAGTGTAGATTGACATCCATGTGAGTATTTAATAGAATATTTGATAATTCATTTGAGATCTTTAACATTTTTGTTTTCCACAAGGCCTTTCTCTCACTTATAGTCTCAGTCCTATGGCTCCTCCGCTTTATGAAACCCGTTTAAGCCCCTCATGTCCAGCTCCTTGACAAACTAAAAAGCCCCCTCCGACCTTTTTATTGAGTAAAAAAAAAAGTCAAGGAAAAAGAACACCCCAAAAAAAGACAATATGATAATAACTTGTTAATGTCAGACAGTTGCACAGAGTATTATAGTGTGCCTACATGTGCTGAGGGTCATCATGAGTTTTGGTGTCTATATGTGCAATGAGCATCGATGTTAGCATGCCAGTCACTTCCTCACGCAGCTACTACCGGATTGAAAAGCCCCAAGAAAGATGTTTTGGTCCACATTTTGAAACAGACAGCGCCAACTAAAGGTTGTCTGTCTGAGTATGCTTTTCCTTCCCTTTTATGTTTTACAAAATTTCAATAATTTAGGGTACATTATCAACTCACTACACTAACCCTACCATCAAAATTTCTAAATAAGTTTTGCACTGCAAGTGCGAGCTCCATAGACCCACATTCAATGCCACTGCACTTTGTGTCAAACTCAGAGACACAAACTCAATAATCACAAGCAAAACTCTATTCAAACTCGCAGCTCATGAAAGAGGAACAATTATGTAAGCTAGTAATGTGTTCCTCTGTCAAACAAATTTTCAACTGGCCATTTCTATCAAATAAATTTACAGTGATATACTCATGAAAGCTGAATGGACCAAGATAGAGGGCATGACAAGGAATAAAGCAATTTCTCAAGTTATCTGCTTATCACTAACTCCATTTGGGACACATCCAAAAACTCATCAAGTCCATGACACAACAGTGCATGCAGATAGAACCAACAATGATTCCAACTGTGACTTGTAAACAATGAAAAAAGAACAAGAAACAGTAAATATAAACCTAAACAAATTTAGAAGCCAAAAAACAAGAGAAAAAAGCTCATAAAAGCCAAGAACGGAGATAACGGTGACTCCTGAAATGAAAAACAGATGCACAACTTAATATCCATTCTCATACACAAACTTAAAAGCAAACTGTAGAACTCAATAATGTCGGGTTCAAACAACATCCACTTGTGCAAGTTATTTTAGACAACATTACAAAAGCAAAACCAACAAAATTTGCAACCATGGATACCTACAACATCCAAATTGGGAACACATGTCCCTATGCGAAATCATAAGGCCCACATCTCCCAATTGTAAGTCTAATACATACTTTAATCAAGGTGCTAAAACCCTATGAAATAAGATGACAAATAACTTCCAAGTAGAAAACAATTTACCTCACCGAACCAAAACCCTTCAAAGGAGATCAGCAACGTTTGCCGGGAGCTCCTCAACCACCACATTATAGAACCTCTGGATGTCAGCCAGCATCCTCTCGTCATCTTTGGTCACAAAGTTGATGGCAACACCCTTCCTCCCAAACCGTCCACTACGTCCAATTCGATGGAGGTAGTTCTCTGGCTGGGTTGGGAGATCATAATTGATCACAAGAGAGACTTGCTGGACGTCAATACCACGGGCCAAAAGATCAGTGGTGATGAGCACACGTGAGGAACCAGAACGGAATTCCCTCATGATGATATCTCTAGTGTTCTGATCCATGTCTCCATGAGTGGCAGAGACTGTGTGATCACGGCTGCGCATTTTGTCAGTGAGCCAGTCAACCTTGCGCCGCGTGTTAACAAAGATGACACTTTGCGTTATGGCCAAGGTTTCATAGAGATCACAAAGCGTCTCGAGCTTCCATTCCTCCTTATCGACATTGACATAAAATTGCTTGATACCCTCAAGAGTAAGTTCATCACGTTTCACAAGAATCCTCACAGGTTTGTTCATGAATTTCCTAGTGATTTCAAGGGCCTCAGGTGGCATTGTGGCAGAGAACACCCCAACCTGGATCTTAGGTGGCAGTAACTGGAATATATCATAGATCTGTCGCGAACAAAATTACGGTATTAGACAGAAACACACTAAATTGCAAACGGCTGGAACTGAAACTTATCTCACTATAAAGTATCTGCAAGATTGTCTCAAGAAACCAAGACCATACACAATAAATCACATATAAACTTCAAAAACCTAAGAAAAATCCAATTAATAATTAGAGCAAATTATTCCTCATCTACCTTCTTATTATACCCTTCACCTAAGAAAAGTTATGTCATACCTAAACAGAAAGATGACAGCAGCAAGCAGATTAACAAAACAAACAAATCAAAGAAAAACTAAGTAACCTGATCTTTGAAGCCTCGTGAAAGCATTTCATCTGCCTCATCCAACACAAACATTTTGATGTAATCAGGGCGAAGTGACTGTCTACGCAACATGTCGAATACTCGACCAGGGGTACCAACAACAACATGAACCCCACTTGAAAGAATGCGCTGATCTTCACGCACACTGGTCCCTCCTACACAAGCATGAACCTTCACACCAAGATAGTCACCCAGTGCTCGCATGACCTTTTCAATTTGCTGAGCAAGTTCACGAGTGGGTGCAAGAACCAACGCTTGGCATTCAACTATACCATAATCAAGCTGCTGCAGAATTCCAGAGCAGAAAGTTGCAGTTTTTCCAGTTCCGGACTGTGCTTGTTGAATTACATCAAGTCCTTTGCAAAAGGGAACTATCCCCCTTTGCTGAATTGCAGAGGGCTTCTCAAAACCTACAAACAAATTCAAATCCAACTTTCAGCTCTTCATGTTGCCAAAGGTGAGCCTCAGAACAAAAAAAATAATTAGAAGGCAGTGTTTTGTGATGCTAACCTACATCTTGAAATAGACAGAACCTACCAGTTTTGTAGCTATATAGTTAACCATTCGGCACTCTTACCCAATTGGTGAAAAGTGAATGAGTAATTCATATCAAATTAAAACTAAATGCCCTAAATGGAGCTACATAGGCAACAAAACACTAGAACTGGAAAAGCTCCAGTCTGATGGTGAAGATCTAATCAACAGTAATAGAGCTATCTCTGCCCCCTGATTTAATCAAGAAAACAGATAAAAGTTTGCTTTAGAGAAATTTATTATGAATTACTTTTTTTTAATAAAAAAGTATACCATAGGCATAAATGCCCCTCAGGAGATTTTCTTGCAAGCCCATTGCATCAAAGCTGTCATAAACTTCATCATACGAAGTGAAGAATTCTTCCCCATCAGTCGTCCCAAGTCTGCCCATCAATTGACGACCAAACCAAAACATCAGCATTTTCGTTTCCATAAGGAAGAGGAGGAGGGGGAAAAGGAGAAGAAGTTAATATATTATAAAAACTTCGTAAAGAAACAAGAAGCAAAACCATTTATTGCCACCGAAACAACAATGAATGTTTATAGAATGAAATGACAAAACTTACAAGTCACTCATTCTGGCATCATACTGACGAGCGTCAAATTGAGAACCCTCTGGGGCCAAGCCAGCCATGTCTGCAATCATTAAAAATAAAAATACTACTCATAAGCACAGTTCCAATGAAAATCTTTCAGCTCACAGAGAAGTCCCTCCAACTATGGTATGAAATTGAGACAGTATATAGATGATATTCCGTGATGGAAAATTGAAATAGTACTTTCATGTTTCACAATCCAAAGAATCAAGCATCAATCATTTTTTCACTTACATTTATCTCTGGGCCAGCTAAGGCAAATTAATGAAAAGCTACATTAAAAAAAAATTAATGAATTGATAACAATTTGATGAACAAAAATTTGGAAACACATACTTGAATATATGGAAACATAAACATACACATGTTTTGCAGACAATTTCAAAAAACAGGCAGAGGAAAATGTAATTAAAACACCAGAAACCATCTCCATATTAACTCCAAGAAGAGAATTGAAAGAAAAATAAAAAAATAAAATAAAAAAACCTAATGTCCACTGATAAAAAGGGAAAAACAAAACCTCACACAATTACTCTGTGGTTCAATGTCAAAAAGGGGGAAACAATACTTCTAATCTAAAAAGTACCATGCAAGAATGCTGACCCAATCAATTTTGCTTAGAGAGAGAGAGAGAGACAGAGAGAGGGGCAAACGAGGCATTCAGAAGATGCTAAATAAAGGGTGCTTATAGCAATAAGCTAAATGCAAAAAAAATGAAATTCCGCTTATCTAAAACAATTTACCTTATCTTGCATTAAAATACATCAGAATAAGCAGGTGTGTTCTGCACATTTGTTTATCTTGCATTAACATAGTTTGTCTTCTCTCACTGCATCCGCATCCCTACTTTTAGGTTATGATTGATTTTCTCATAAGATATCTATTCACCATTATCTTCTACCTATATTTTAATGAATATATATTTTCTACATTCCTAATTTAGACTATTATTCAGTTAATTTTGGCTTTCCGAGCTTAAAATTGTACAAATGATATATGTCGTTCTCTCTCATTTCTTAATCATTATATACTCTTGGAGTTCAAGTTTCGTGAGGGGAAGGAACTAAATCAGGTTAGCTTTTTAAACTTAAATTAAATCCATGATCACGAACCACGATAATGTGTGGTTTATCTTCAATTGTTGTCTAAATCAATGCAATCTTATGCCACTTAGGCCTCGTTTGGCAAGAGGCTATTTTAGCCAATTAGCCAAAAAGTTACTAAATTAGCCAAAAAGCCAACAACCCATACCAAATCTCATTTCTTAATCATTATATACTCTTGGAGTTCAAGTTTCGTGAGGGGAAGGAACTAAATCAGGTTAGCTTTTTAAACTTAAATTAAATCCATGATCACGAACCACGATAATGTGTGGTTTATCTTCAATTGTTGTCTAAATCAATGCAATCTTATGCCACTTAAACTGTGTAATCTGCTACAACAGCCAAATAATAAAATAAGTTAACTGTGCAGCTATTTTGGGTTTGAATTTGCATTCGAGATGCTTTAAAAGTTTACACTAACTGGCCCCAGTTTAAACATAAAGACAGAAATGTTGGCTTGAGGTCAAAAGTTGATTATGGCACAAGATGATCAACCAACTACCTTTTCTTTTGGCATATGAATGACAAGAAGTTAGGGTAAATGTGAGCAAATGTTCAAGATGTTCACAAGTTTCTTTTATGCTCATGGTCTGATTAGTTATGCTTTACTTGCATTCACTAAAAACTAAAACATACACAATTTTTAGATTGAAAAAGTAATCACCATGTTTGTTTTCAGTTTTTTAAAAACATTATTTAGAAAATTCTACTTTCTTGTTTTTTGTATTTTTTTTTGTTTTTATTGAATTTTTTAAATATTTTAAGCAATTTTTTTAATTTTTAAATACACCTAACGTAAATACACTTAAAAAGTATAATTTTCACAAACAAACAAAAAAATCTTTAAAAAATTCACTAAATACCAAAAATACAAAAAAAATACTAAAATTCTGTATATTTTTTTGTATTTTTGTGTATTTATTAATGTTTTAAAATACTTTTCACAAATATTTTACTTCTTAGATATATTTGAGTAAGGTGCATCTAAAAAAGTAAAAAAAATGCTTAAAATTTTAAAAATATTCATTAAAAACAAAAAACACGAAAAACAAAAAAAACTCAATTTTTAAAAAACTGAATACAGAAAACTAAAACAAAACACACTGAATAGGATTATTATTTCATGCTATTACTTAATTCAAGTTGTGTGCCCAATAGCTAGTATCAAGAATAGCAAGACGGGTGGTAGGGAAAGGCGACTGCTTCCCCTACGATTTCAAAGAAATCATTTTCTATACTAGTTTAGCCATTAATTATCTCCAAACAATTAAGGTTGCCCCTCTATATATATCAAACATGAATCAAAGTTTAACATTAAAAAAATTAATAAAATATACCAAAAGGAATTAGTTTTTCAAAACTAGTGACAATTACAAGCCCTAACCTGCAAAGAAGACAAAAAGATGGAGGAGTACGCAAGTTAGTTGATTACATTCAATGAGAAAGACATTTTTGTGGTGTTCTCATATAGATATCTTTAATGACATGGAAACACATGGAACACAATTCAATATGTCTCACTTTAGTGGATAAATAGTTGCCATATTTTGTAACTCAATATAGATGCAAAAAGATCATGTGTTTACTTATATATGATTTCATGTTATTTTCACTTTTTATACTGGTAGAAATTGATTTTGTAATCCATACACTTTTTTTTTTTTTTTTAAAATGTTAGTTATATGTTCGCCCCTATATTATAATTTTGGGTACATCAGTGGTTAGTATATATCTATTCTATTATATAATGGAAACACATGGAACACAACTCAATATGTCTCACTTTAGTGGATAAATAGTTGCCATATTTTGTAACTCAATATAGATGCAAAAAGATCATGTGTTTACTTCTATATGATTTCATGTTATTTTCACTTTTTATACTGGTAGAAATTGATTTTGTAATCCATACACTTTTTTTTTTTTTTTTAAAATGTTAGTTATATGTTCGCCCCTATATTATAATTTTGGGTACATCAGTGGTTAGTATATATCTATTCTATTATATAACGCGTAAAAGCTGTCACGTTTTTCCCTTTCCCAATATTTCCCTTCCTATCCAATAACTATCCCATCCAATAACTGCTGAATAATTTTTCTAATTCAACAAACGGCCCAAAACTGCCAATTAATTTTACTCAATCATCAAATTATGCAAAAATTTTGATGTAAAATTACAAACGCATCACGTTGCATCCTGCTTGTATATATTTATACACAAAAGAACAGCACAATTTCATGGGATGAAAAGCAGCAATATCTAAACAAAATCGAGCAGGTGAATCATTCATTATCAATCTGAAGAAATTTGAACAAAATTATATATATTCAATCCAAACAAAAATCAAATCAAGGAACTTCTAACACGAGATTTCAACACCGATCATAGTCGAAACTCAAACTGGAGCGAATCTGATGAATCAACTTTATCAACAGTTTCAAAACATAGATAGAGAGAAAAAGATTGAAATTTTCCGTGACTACCTGATAGCAGTGAAAGGTCGCTGAAGAACTGTGAGGAAGATAGAGATGGAGAGCTTGTGACTGAGATCGATCGCTTTTTGGCTAGGGTTAGGGTTTTCCCAAACTCCTCGGATCTACGCCGCGGAGTTGAGGAACAGAACAGCGAGAGCAAAAGAACAAGATATATGATGAGACAGGGAGGTGTTTGTATAAGTTGTGAGATTGATCAGTAGTATTTGAGCTTTATAAAAGGCTAATAATACTGATAATAATAATACTAATAATAAGGATAATACTGATAATAATAATACTAATAATAAAGATAAATTACAAATACGTCCTTTAATGTTTGCTTAAAATATAGATTATTTTTTGTAATTTAAAAAATTATTTAGTATTTTTTGTTTAATAGAATTAACTAAAAAATGAAATTCATAATTGTTTCCCTATACAATAATAAAATTATCTAAATTATTAATTGAAATATACTTTTAACATCATTAAAAATTATTAATTAACTTGATAATTTATTAATAAAATGAGCGATTTGTTATGGAATTATAAAACTCAGGGGTGGAATGTAATTTCCAAAACCACAAGAGGTGATTTGTATTTTAATCAAAGTTCATGGGTAATTCTATTTCCACACACTAATTTCATGGATAATTCTACTTCCACACACTAATTTCATGGATAATTCTACTTCCACACACTAATTTCACTTAGTTCACGCACTTAATGAAAATTTTCAGTAACACAATTTTATCCTATAATAAAAATACCATAATACCCTCATTTTCTTCTACTCAAACCCTATTTCTAAAATATCACATATAATTAGACTCTGTTTGGTATAGTTTAAAATATGTTTTTTTTTAAAAAAAAAAAAACTTCTTATTTCAATATGGTTTCATCTTTTTAGGGGCAAAAAAATTTAAAAATGTAAAAATATTTTTTTAGTATTTATTTTTGTCAAATTAATTTATATTTTTCTCATAAAAATTTCAAAAAATTGAATCAAAAAATAAAACCAAACATAGCCTTAGGGTTTTAAAATTGAAAAGGATGGTAATATTGGAAGATAGAGATGTGTATTGAGAAATTATATATTTTTATAATGTGTGTACTGAGAAAGTGTTCATTAAGTATGTATATTGAGAATAATTAGTATGTGGAAATAGAATCACCCTATGCACTAGTTGTGTTTACAATTATTTATATATATGTGAATTGTAATTTTTAAATATTTTTTTTTTGGCACACAGAAAAAGAAATATAACAAATGCAATATATCTTCAATCAATTATTTTATGTTTGCTTTTATTCAAAATTTACAAAATAATGTATGGGCAAAATTTATAACTAAATTAATTCCTAACGACATTTTGTTTACTTCTATAGAAATACTTAAAAAAATAAACCTCAAAAAGGTAGTCAATATAATATTATACATTAAGTAAAAAATGTAATTAGCAATTATGCTTACATAAATTTACTATAGTTTTAATTTCAAATTTTAAAAAAAAATTAATTTAAAAACATTTTATTTAGTTAGTACCAAATTGAATTTTCTTAGTAAAAGGGAAAGTTATAAAATTTTGTTACAAATTTTTAAATGTCTATTGTTAAACATTATATTCTACTTGCTTGTTTGTTTACTTACTTGCTTTGGGAGTTTTGATCTTTGATCTTTGCTCCACATTTATTGTATTGTTTTATTTATTTTTCTTCTTTTTACTTGATTTTTGCATGATATTTTTTTTATAATGCATCTTCGAGTATATTAGTGAAAATATTATATACTTAAAATGAACAAAATTGCAATATATATATATATATATATCCAACTCCTTTCTTGAACCCTCTCCTACAAACATTATATTCTACTTGCTTGTTTGTTTACTTACTTGCTTTGGGAGTTTTGATCTTTGATCTTTGCTTCACATTTATTGTATTGTTTTATTTATTTTTCTTCTTTTTACTTGATTTTTGCATGATATTTTTTTTATAATGCATCTTCGAGTATATTAGTGAAAATATTATATACTTAAAATGAACAAAATTGCAATATATATATATATATATAAAGTAAGTAATTGCCCAAAACTAAAATTACTTTAAGAAAAAATAAACAATAAAAAAAATGAAATTGTTTAAAATGAAAAATGATTTACTTATTCATTTATTTATTTTTAAAAATAAACTTTTAAATAAAACAAAAAAAACTATATAAAAAAAATACAAAAATCAAACATAAAATATAATATAAAAAATCAATGAATTATATGATTTTCAATAAGTGAGACTCATAAATAAATTTTGTAAAATCTTATTTACTTATATACCTTTTGTATATGTTTTTTGTGCTTCTAATCCCAATAATGACATTGAAATAGTCTACACTTCTTGTATTAGGTCCATCTAATAGTTTTAGCAAATATCGATGTAATAAATTTCATAATACAAAACCTAAACAATTGTGAGACAAAGTTTCAAAAAAAAAAAAAAAAAAAAAACTTATTTTAATTGGAGGTATAACTAGATAAATCGTCATAGAAAATGAATACAACATTCATTATTCATCACAACAATTACATAACTCAATATATAATTTTAATGTCTCTCATTTTTCCACACGTCTAATTCTCTATCAATAAAATGAATGCATGAACAAAAAAAATGAATCATTTGAGAAAACAATAAGATGTGGCTTGAGAACTTTCAATGTTGAATTTTATTAATCAATAGTTATTAGGCTTCAATGGTCGGGTTTGTAATATTTGTTAGTCATTAAAGTTTGGTTCTTTGATTTCATCAATATTCACTTGATAATTTGAAAGTGGACACGTGTCAAGCCTTTACACGAACACTTGACACATTTTTTGAGCATTATTAATGAAATGCACAATGTAATTTTTTTTTTAATTGCAATTGCAACATGTTATTTTTTAATAAAAATTTATATTTATTTTAGATTTTTTTAATACACAGATTATTTTTTTTTAGATTTTTTTATAAAAATAATTTAACAATTCATCACTAACCATAGTGTGTGAGAGAAGTTGAAAATGGTGCGGCAGTAGGTATGGAAAAAGTAAAAAAAAGCTTGAAAAATTTAGCCAAAACCTCACTATTAGACCCTCGTTTAGTGAAAAGGGCATCCCAATTTATTTTGTTTCATAAACCTCTTAAGGAGAAAACACATAATTGAGTAAGAATAAAGTAAAAATTTTTTTTTGGACAATATTACCAGAGTAACATGTTACCGTGAATCAGAGTAACATGTTACTGTCAGACAAAGTAACATGTTACTATAAGACAGAATAACATGTTACTGTCAAATAAAATAACATGTTACTGTTTAAGAATTTCATAATCAACCTGGATTTTATTTGATAGATCATATTTGTTGAACTTTTCAATGAATTTTTTTTATGCTTGTCCTTAATGCATTAAAATTTTATTGTGAGAGAGTTTTGATCAAATCCCCCAAAAGACTTACGGGTTAAGAGAAGTTAATAAATGTTGAGATTTTTTTTTGTAAACCAAAAAATTAAAAAATTAAGATTGAGATATTGAAATTCTTACCAGGCTTGTGAGTTACCAATCTCATTTTCCTTATATACCAGCGAAAAGAAGAAAAATGGATAAAAATAAAAATGTAAAAACAAATCAAATTTTATATCAAACAGAGCCTAAATACATTCTTAATTTTTCATCTATTACTTCGGGATGTATTATGACTGTAAATTAAAGTGGCACGTGATAAGATCTTTTTGACGTTCACTATTTTTTTTTTTTGGATCCGAATTGACATTCACTATTAGGCAGTGAATTATTGTTATATATCATTACTAAGTTGAATAAAAATAAGAATCTTAATGATATTAAACTTAACCTAATCAAGAAAAATAATTCTGGATTAAAAAATATGTTAGACAAACCTCTCCTAAACGCAAAAAAAAAAAAAACCTAGAGAAGATATGACACTCTTTTATAAAAATAAAAAAAACACTCATGAGGGAGAAATATTTGTAACACCCAAACAAATCACAAAAAATTTACAAAGACATTTACAAATAAAATTAAAATACTTTTGTAACTACACTCGTAATAATTTGTGTTTTTTATTTATTTATAACAAAGATAGTATGCTGATATGTTAATAGTTAAATTACAACACAGGCTAATATTTTTCTATTGACTTGAATCTGAGATGTTATCATGACATGTAAGTATACTTTCCATGACCACTTAATTACAAACTCAAGTACATAATAATTTAAATTAGACACTGATTTTTTTTACACGTATTTTGTAAACTTTTATGTGCCCATAACACTATTGCAATTGTGTTTTTTTTTTTTTTTTTTTTTTTGGGGCTCATCGGAAAGAATTATCGCAATATATATGGATATATCTCATGGATTTGAATAACGTTGCTTATGTGACCCACGGGTCCTCTCCATGACCCGTAAATAGTTCGTTTTAGTTGGGTTTTGTAGGGCCCATACAAATTGGGTTTGAAGGGATCTAAAGTCCAATGTTGTTGTAGGATGACCATTATAACTGGGCTTGCTTGGTACGGCTCAAAGTCAGTCAAACAAATTAGTCCTGGCCAGTCAAGTTTGCTAGGGATTTTATAGGCCCGTTTTTATTTGCGGGCTGGTCTTGTGTATAAATCTAAAGCCCGGCCCAATCTATTATCAATTACTAAAATGTTTTGGACCATAGTTGTATTTGGCATTTTGGCCCATTTGGTGTAATTTTTGAGAAATTAAAAGTAGATAATTTAAAATAGTCAAAAAAAAAAAAAAAAAGTTTAAAAGCTACTATAAATTATTATATTATTCTTTTCATTTTTTTCACATATTTTTAAAGAGAATCTAAAAAATTAATTAAAATAATCAATTCCTAAATGAGGCAAGAATCTTTGGTTTAAAACCATTCAAACATCACTTTTCAATAATTACAACGTTTGCCACGTAAGGTATGAGAAAAAGTTGCATTTCGGCACAAAGTTAAACTCTCAAAATAATTTCTAAAAAAAGCTCCCATAAATTAAAATAAATTAATGTGGGACCATTATTTTTATGTAATGATAATAAAATCTGATAAGAAATCCATAATACATTTATTTGTAAAATCTATTCATAATTACATTAGAGGCTTAAAAGTCAAATCCAATCATTAATCAGGCTTGGGAGGTCATGGCTGGGCAGAGGGTTTTCTGGCATGAGATCTTATCTTTTTGTCCTAATATATTTTCATTTACTAAATTATGGCTTAAAATTTAAGCATTTTGATATTTTTACTTAATTTAATGATCAAAAGTGTATTGAAATAAGGAGACGAAAGAATTTAGAAAAGGGGAACACATTGGCCGGTATAATCTATCATAAAATAGTTTATGATAGAGAGATAAAAAGATTCAAAGAAAAATGAACATTGTCTGGTATAATATGTCATAATTAGGCCCCCCAAAAAAACATTTAGGGAAACCATTTCCTTCAAATGTATAATCTCCATCATTTGATTTATAGATTTTTTTTTTAAATTTAAACAAAAAGGCACAAGTAGTTAATCATACGCAAAGTCACAAAATGGAGCTTACAAAGAGAGCAAGCAAAAGTCGTATATAGTGCTTTGAGGCCAAGCAAGACAAGCACTTGAGAGAGAGATAAAGAGAGTGCATGGGATTCGAGTGCATGGGATTCAAATCCAATTACGTACACATCACAACACAATACACCCCCAAAATGTAATTCTTTAGTCAAAATTTGCATTCGAAGCCATAATGGTTAACGTGGCTCTTTTTGAAACTAAAAGCAACCATCTACATCTTCACAAATTAAAAAAAGAAAAGAAAATAGAGTCAATATTAATGTAATTAAATTATTAAAAAATGTACATATCATCTCAATGGAAAATTCCTCATTATTTTGACCAAAGTGAATGCTGTTGTGCTAAAAGCTAAATTGTTGATATTTTATTATAATTTCATTGTGTGTACTTTTTTAAAAAAATTTAAAATAATCACATTATCTTATCATATATTGTGTTTATTGTATTATATGTTATCATTACGTTAATAAAATAATATATAACATGTTATATAGTATACGAAATACGGTAAGATAAGGTGATAATCATAATATTCAATAGGTCATTAAAAAAAAAAAGAGACAATATGGTCATTGATCGGAGAGAAATATTATTTACACAAAATTTATGTACAAAAATTCTCACATGAGGATAGTTTCTACATAAGTCTCACATATGTAGACCATACTTTTATGTGAGAGTTTTTGTGCGTTCTATGCATATAATATTGCTATTGATTGAATAGGATTTTGATTGTGTGAAAGAAATAGTAATTAATTGCATATTTTTTTATTTTATTTTATTTTAATGATAGGTGCAAAGAAAAAAATGCCCACTTAAATATTTCAAACGTGACGAGGATTACAATTAAAATGAATTAGAACTATACAATTAGATTTTCGTTTTTGTATTATTATTATTGCCCATAAAACAAGTCACAAAATGTTAGGCACTATGAATCCACTTTTATTCGTGAGGCGTGAGAAATGCACTTAAAGCAACGACTCCAACTCAATCCCCACTTGCTTAAGTGCGTGTTTACCTCCCCACCCCCACAAAGCCTCCACACTTTCCTCACTTTCCAACTTTGAAAACTTTACACAATTCATAGACTTACCCAACACAACACATGATAACAATCAAAACCAAGAAAAAACAACACAAACACAACACATCTCATCTATGATATCTACCCTCTTTCTGTGATCACAACCACCAAAAATGGCCTTGAGCAACACCACCAAGCCCAAGAAACCTATCATCTCCATCCAATCCAGCCTAGCCACCACTCTCTTCTTCATTGTCCTCTTCACCATCCCAGCCCTCCTCCTCCTCCACACCCCCACCACCTCCAACTGCACCACCCTCTCCACTCAATCCAAGGCTTGGTCCGGCGATCTACGCACAGCCGAATTCGCCTGGAACCACCTTGTATTTGCCGATGCCACCCCTCCGCCGGTCAAACTAAAAATCGCAGTTTTTTCCCGAAAATGGCCTATTGGCTCCACCCCAGGCGGCATGGAGCGTCACGCGCATACCCTCCACACCACCCTAGCCCACCGTGGCCACCAGGTCCATGTCTTCACATCGCCAGTAAATGACATCAGCCTGACTAAATTGGATAATCCTACGGTCGAGGATGGTCCAATTTTGTCTCCCATCATTCACTGCCACGAGGGCAGTGAACCAGGGAGGTGGCGTTACAACAAGGCCTGGGAGCAGTTCGAGGAAGAGAACCACCGCCAACCGTTCGACGTGGTTCACTCAGAAAGCGTGGCACTTCCTCACTGGCTAGCCCGCAACCTCCCCAACCTCGCTGTCTCGTGGCACGGCATAGCCCTGGAGAGCGTCCATTCCTCGATTTACCAAGACCTGGCTCGCCGGCCCGAGGAGCCAATTTCGCCCGAATTCAACAAGAGCCTACATGGGGTGATCCCAAAAGTACTCAATGAAATCAAATTCTTCAAAAACTACCAACACCATGTTGCTATAAGTGACAGTTGTGGTGAAATGTTAAGAGATGTGTATCAAATCCCAAGCAAAAGAGTTCATGTGATCATCAATGGAGTCAATGAAGAAGACTTTCAAGAAGATTCAAGATTAGGTTTTGAATTTAGATCAACCATAGGGGTCCCACAAAATGCAAGCTTAGTTCTTGGTGTAGCAGGAAGACTAGTGAAAGACAAAGGCCACCCACTCCTCCATGAAGCCTTTTCCAAGCTCAAAAACCGCCACCCCGACGTCTACCTGGTGGTCGCCGGAGCGGGACCATGGGGGCAGCGATACGAGGATTTGGGTTCCCAAGTCATAGTCTTGGGGTCTATGAAACCATCTGAATTGAAATTTTTTTACAATGCTATTGATATCTTTGTGAACCCAACTTTGAGGCCTCAGGGACTTGATTTAACTCTCATGGAGGCCATGATGAGTGGGAAACCGGTGATGGCTTCGAGGTTTCCGAGCATAAAAGGGACTATTGTGGTTGATGATGAGTTTGGTTTTATGTTTGCTCCGAATGTGGAGTCGTTGGTCGCGGTGTTGGAGGCGGTGGTGGCAGAAGGGGCGGAGAGTCTGAGCAGGAGGGGGAAGGCTTGCCGGAGTTATGCAGCTTCCATGTTCACTGCACGTAAAATGGCTTCGGCTTATGAGAGGTTGTTTCTTTGTATCAAGAATGAAACATTTTGTTCCTACCCTAGGTTTTAAGGTTTTGTTTCTTAATGGTTTTTGTAATTTTTGAATGCCTTTGTTATTCAATGAAAAATTCTAACCATACAATTTTTTTTTTCTTTAATGCATATCCTAACTATATAACATGATATAATTACATTAGTGAAACAACAATATATAGTTTTTTAAAAAGTTCTTAAAATTTTAAAATTAAATAAGTAAATTTTAAATAGTGTGAACGAAATCTATTTAGAAAGTTTCAACTAGTTTTCTATCTGTGATCTTCTCTGTTATTTTATTCTGAGTGATCTTCTCTGCTATTTCATTGTGAGCAGTTTACTTTTTGTTTTATTTATTTTTTTGGTTTGATTTATTGCGATACAAAAATTATGGATTTTTCCTTTCACTATGTTATTTTCTATTTATGGAAAACTTGTTTATTCAATTTTATTTATACAGAGTAAATACAAAAAAGACATTATTATTCTAATATAAAAGTTAGACTAACTTTTCGAATACACATGACAATCAATTAAAATATCTAATGCAATTTTCTTTTACATCTTTTCTAATTATTAATCAATCATCTTTTTTACACATTACTGGATCTAAAAAGTGAGTATATAAAGTGAGATCTAATATCAAATGACACAGTAATTAAACATTAACATCTCTACACAATTTATATGCTTCTCTGAATGTTTACTTGAACCTTAATCAACTTATTAAATCATAAATCAAGCTGAGTAGAAATCCGATCCTTCTCAAACCGATCATAAGCAGGACGAGTTCTCAAGAACAACATCACACTCGATCCTACTCCCAACACAGAAATGCATCCCCACCATACAAACGTCAAGAAATAGCATTTTCTCCCCATACACACCACAGAATCGGCTATGATGCTCCGAAAGCTCGGGCTCGCATTGGCATCGTAAACTAGGGCGGCGAGGAGGCCATAGACGAGTGATCCGACAGGGATGTTGGTGATGAGGATGTTGTGGTTGACGCCAACGCTGTTGGGACCGAACAACTCTGATGTGACTGAGACTGCTGCTGCGAATATGAAGCCAGAGCTCAGCCCGATCAGGGCGGTGCCTGCGTGGAGCGCAGTGGCGCTGCCTGATATGGCTAGCAAGAAGAAGGCGATCGGGGTTGGGAGTAATGCTATGGCTAGCCACCCTGTCCTTGCAAAATAGACCTTCCTGCACAAATAAAAGGTCTTGCTTAGTTCTATCAAATATCATGTAAAGAGGATTTGCACGAAAATTCCATTACAGTCACCATAGTAGGGTTGGACACATTTCAAAAATTGACATATCAGAACACATGTCAAACATGTTACATGGCATGTGTAATTTGTTTTTTGTGTTAATTTATTCATTATAGGTCTAATTTTATCAATTTTACTCATTGTTATGGCATTCAAAAGAATTCGAAAGAAAGTTGGATAACTTACACACGCAAGAAGTCCGGGGCAGCAGAAAGCAACCGGCCAAAGAAGGAGAATGAAGAATAGAGTGTGATCAGAGTTGAGGTCTTAGAACCTTGTCCAAGTGACTCAGCGATCTGCCCAAGATTGTTACTATACACTAGCCCGATTGTACCTCCACAAAAATATGCAATGTAGTATAGCCAAAAATCTAACCGTCGAACCAGCATCTGTGCTTTGTGCTCTTCCCCGAGCATCACCAACCGGTCTTTCTCCATCACATTCTCACAACACCCTTCACACCCTCCACCACGCAGTCCAGTCATTCCATAGGTGGATCCAATGCTATCAACAACACTTGCAATCCCATTCCCCAAACTACTAGTCTCGCGGGTAATGAGTTCTTTGTGCAACTCAAGATCGTCAACATCAACAAGAACGAAGCCCGAGCCCTCAAGGCGAAAGCTTGAATGGATCGTACGATGAAACCAATCACGAGCATAGACAATGCCAGGGATGAATAAGGGGAAGATGAGGAGAAAAATGGCACCGCCAAATAGGAGACGGGCTGTTGAGGCGTCTGTTGAATTGAAGAAGAGTAGATAGATGCCAGTGACAACGGCTAGGAGGTTTAAGAGGAGGAATATGAGGGAGTCACGACGAACAGCATCGGGAGGGAGGGGGTTGAGAGGGGGTTGGCGGAGAATTGGGATGAGAGCAGCAATGGAGGTGATTAGGGGAATGGTGGCATTGAGAAGAAGGTATAGTTGGGTGGATGATGGAGCGATTGAATTGGCAGCAAGGGTGTATAAGGCTGCGCTTACGCCATTGAAGCTCACAGTGAGAGAGATTGCAAGGGGTCGATTAGCTGGGAAATTTCGATTGCAGAGGATGAAACAGACAGTGTTGAACCAGCAAATGCTGCATCCAGCCAACAAACAGAGAAGGAATACCTGTCACAAGTTAGAGAATAACCATTCTTATTGACAGCAAAATTGCAAAATTTCGCATTATATCAAAGCTATAAAAATTCATAATTTTAAAATTTCGCTTTTGAAACTATTTACAATTTGCAAATACTACTTTCACACTTTCAAAAGGATGAACATTTTGCAAAATTGTGAAATTTCGCATTATATCAAAATTATAAGATTTCAAAATAATTCCGTGATAGTCACACATGATCTCCAACTGAAAAAAAAAAAAAAGTTTATGATGTAATAAACAAATTGATATTCTTACATTTTAAAACATATAAAACAGTCATAAATCACAAAAAAAAAATTAAAAAAAGAGACTTTATCTCATAACATTCTTTTCATGTGAGACTAGATAAGTTAATATATTTTTCATGGACCTACCACATTTTTCTGATATAGAACAATTTAATCAAATTAACATTTCAGCCAGCAAAACCCATAAAGAAAACCAAGGATTTTGGTTGATCTTACATTTTAAAACGTATAAAACAGTCATAAATCATAAAAAAAAAATTAAAAAAAGAGACTTTATCTCGTAACATTCTTTTCATGTGAGACTAGATAAGTTAATATATTTTTCATGGACCTACCACATTTTTCTGATATAGAACAATTTAATCAAATTAACATTTCAGCCAGCAAAACCCATAAAGAAAACCAAGGATTTTGGTTGAATTGCCAAATGAAAAGTCATGAAAGAGCTTACTGTAACTAATAAAAATTGCCAAGTTACATGTACTACAAATCATGAAGGACAAAGATCAAAGATTTTGATGAAAGATTTACATTTTTTTTAAAAAATTGGGTCATTATGAGTCTTGAACTCAGGCATTATGCTAGGTAAAGGAACATCTCATCCACTAGACCAACCCTTTGGTCTCAACGAATTCAAAACTTGAAGGGTCTAACAACTCCAATAAATTAGAAGGCAACAATCAATCTTTATGAGTCATCGGTGCTGATACTGGTAGCAGAATAAACTAATAAACGAAGTGGGCACAATGATGTTGATATATAGTTGTGGCATATCCCAAACTACCTTTAATGCCTTTGGCACGCACTTGTAAGATATTAAATTCAATAAATACGCAGTGATTGTTCAAAATTGAAACCATATCAGAAACTCTATCAACCTACATCACCAAGTCAGTTTTCTTGAAGTTTCTTTATTTATATATATATTTTTAGCAGCTTCTTGAAGTTTCTTTATGCCAATGCAAATGCTGCTTAGCTTTGTTACTTGCACATAATTGGTACAAGGAATAGAGACAATGGTGTAAGTCACACAAATTGTCTATATTCTATGCATTAATTATGTGCACAGTTATTACTTTCACAGAATTAATGCACGTAATAGAGATGAGTGTGTAGACAATCACACTTTTAGCTCTATTCAGAGCACATAGTTATGACACGGTATGGGACAGAAATAATCACATGAAAGGAGAGAAAAATTGGGATAATGAAATGGACAACAACATTTGCATTACATTTAACTTGGTGCACTTTTACACAAATACAGTCCTATATATTAACCAGTGTCTTATACATGCTTAGTGAAAATTTGGGAGCCATTATGAAGAAGAGGCCAAAGATGGAACTCCATTAAACGAAAATAAATATAAATAAAAAAGTATCACTCACATCCCCTAATACTAGTAATTTGTTAGAAATGCAATATCAATTTTACAAATGTATCAAATTTATAGTCCTTAACTAGGAGGGGCTGTTTTAGGTAGGTAACTAGTAGGGGGTTGACTAATACATAATGCACACATTAAATAATACAGTTTGACTTTTTTGACTATTTTAGCTCTAGCTAAAAAGTTCGTTTGTGTTGACTTTTTTGATTTTTTTGACTTTTATGAGAAAAAAATAAAATGATTATGATTTGGATATAACATTTTATTTTATTGACTTTTCCACTTATTTTATCTTTTGTAATTAATTTAACCAAAAATCCACATTTCAAACGAGTTTGACTAGGAATTTTTCAATATAGCAATAATGGAATGCATTTAGATAAAAACTAATCAAAAAAATAAAATGTGTGGACAGATTTATTTGGAGTGCAACCCACCCCGCATCAAATTTGAACCATTTCCATATATTTAATTTTTCGAATATTTTTTAAAATACTTTTTTCTCACTATATAACTTTTCCGGTTTTCATATATTCTACCGACATGACACAACATATAATTGTGACATATGTGCAGTACATTTTCCATATATATAATATGACACGCACATCATGAGTGAGTTTGGTTCTTTCCTTTTCTTTTCTTTACTTTTTTTTTTTTTTTTCCCTATCAAAATGAAAGTAAAAGTATCTAAAAAGAGTAATATTAAAAGTCCCAAATATTTTACTAAGCCTCCGTTTGGGAAGTGGATTGGCTTTTTAGTTTTTTAACTTTTTGATTATTTTAATCTGTGGCTAAAAAGCCTAGTTTGAAAAGGACTTTTTGACTTTTTGGTGAGGTGGTTTCATGTTAAATTACAAAATTGCCCTTCTACTATTTTTTGTGAAATGGACCTCATTACCTCTTTTGTCCTCCAATATTTTACATGGGCGTGAGATCCCCAGCATGTGGGCCTCCCCCCATCAAAATGAAAGTAAGTATCTAAAAAGAGTAATATTAAAAGTCCCAAATATTTTACATGGGCGTGAGATCCCTACCATGTGGGGCTTGAGATCCCACACCCATGTGAGACATTTAGTATAATATTTGAAAAAATATTTGAGGTCCTTAGCATTATTCATTTAAAAAACACGGACAGAGATACAGATATAAATATGGATACGGACACAACACATGATAATTTTAAATAAATAGGGGCATAGACATAGCAGAGACACAATAATAAAATATGTTTTAATATATTTTTATTTGCTATATAGATTAATATTACACTCACAAACAATCAATATTAACAAAAAAAATAACTCTAATTCTATATTTTTTTTAATAAAAAAAATTGTTAAATTAACACTCACTGTTTATATCATTTTCTATAGATGATCTATTAAATATTTAAATCTAAGAAAAAAATAATAAATATTCAACAAAAACACTAAAGAAAATGAGGAAAAAGACAACATTGCCTATTCTTAGTGTGTCCCTAAAATGTCCCCATCATGTTCCCTAAAAATAAATTAATTAAATAAAGAAATATGCGATGTAACGTGTCCCATACGTGTCTCCGCGGTATCTGCGTGTCTAAAAAATATTCACGTATCCAACACAAACACAACACTTTTTTTTTTTTTTTTTGAAGTGTCAACACTTCAAAACACGAATATCATTTGAAAAAACACATTCTTACTTTAATTTTAGAATCATTTAATGTCCAGTCATTGGGCTATTTTGGGAAGATGGTTATAATCAGTTTTTTGGTTAAAAGCTGATTATAATCAACTTTTTGTGAGAGCGAGAAGTGGGTTATAATCTGGAAAGTGGATTATAACTCACTTCCCAAAAGACAGGGTGACTTTCTTGTTGCAACAACTTTTATGATCATGAAATTTACTGAGGGTATCTTATATCATATACATTTTTAATTATGTTATATTTTTCTTCAGTTATGATTAATTTTCTTCTTTGATTATGACACTATTTTAAGATATTTGATTATGACTTTTTTATTTATTTTTAGTTATGATTAAGAAAGAATGAAAAAGGTATGTATAATACACAATCCATATTTTCCTACTAGTATACATGTCCTCAAAAGGGTGTGTATCACAAATGTCATATCAAATTATTTTTGGTCATAATTAAAAAAAAATATGTCATAACCGATTTTTTAGATCGTAACTAAAATAATAATCACAATATGTCATATAACCAATATCACAATAAATCATAACTAACATTACAATGAGTAAATTAAATCATAATTAATACCATAATAGATCATACACAAAAGTCATAAACGTCATAATTAGAACATATAATATACACCCCAAATAGGTATGTATTATAGAATTTCCTTAAAATGAGTAGGGAACTTAAAAACTATTTTTAAAAAAATATCATACAACAAAGGGTTAGGATATAAATTACAATTTGATATTGAGTGAGATGCATTTAGAAAGAATATATATGATCAATATAATTAATTAATTTTGTGAGCATGTGAATACTTTTTTATTGAGTGAGATGCAGTTAGACTCCCAGCCTTTGTCCATGTTCTTTCACGACCCGACTCTTTAGAATTATCTAGAAAGAGCTTTTATAAAGAACAAATATTATAATGACACGTAAATTGTTACTTTCAAGAGTTTTCCCCATACAATAACCATAAATTTTTTTCACATTTTTTTTTTTGGAGAATGAGATTGTGTGTTAGAGATATTTTAACAAAAAACAAAAAAATGTTTTTAATTTTTGTTTTTTAAACTTTCTTTGTTTTTTCTGGGAAAATGTGTTTCTTGGGATTTTTTTTTTCCTCATGCCCCTCTTTCATGAGGGGTAGTTTCGTAAATTTTCCTTAGCGTTTCTTCTTGCGAAGCAGCTGTGGCTTTTTTTGTCCTTTAGTGGCTAAATAAGCCTCTTTTGTCATTTAGTGGCTAATTTAGCCTCCACCAACCTTCCCAAACGATGCCTAAATATTCTACCAAATATTTTACATGGGTGTGAGATCCACACCATGTGGGGCTTGAGACCCCACACCCATGTAAGACATTTAGTATAATATTTGGTAAAATATTTGAGGTCCTTAGCATTATTCAATTAAAAAGCACGAACAGGGATACAGATATAAATATGGATACGGACACGACACACGATAATTTTAAATAAATGGGGACATAGACATAGCAGAGACACATGCTCCTTAAAAATTAATTAATTAAATAAAGAAATACGCGATATAACGTGTCCCATACGTGTCCCCGCGGTGTCTGCGTGTCTAAAAAATATTCACATATCCAACACAAACACAACACTTTTTTTTTTTTTTTTTTTTTT